AATCTGAAACATTTCTTAATAAAGTAGACAGTTACGTTTACATTAAAGAAGCTAAGCCACATAGCCTATCTTTCTAAGTTCAGATTTCTTCAACTAACAATAAGTTTAGAAACTCTTTCAGTTAATCTAAGCTAAGCAACCTAAATTATGCATTTTCATACTCACTTTCAATTCCGACGAGATATTGTTTCAATTGCCAATAATTGCAAGGTCGGGATTTTATGAAATTTACTGTCAGAACAACAACCTTCCTTCTATATTTAGCGTTTGCAAATGCTGTTGCGACAACAGTTCCGTTAGTTGTAACTCCAAATAATTGTGGTCTAAATCCATTCTAGATTGTGCCATAAAAAAGTACAAATAAAGACAACAGATAAAAATTTGTCCTAAACAGTAATTTCACATTCTTTTATATTTTTGACCAAACGTTCTACTTCTTTACAACACAACTTATTTCGGTAAACTGCGCGGTTTAATATCCGAAATGTAGCTTAATGTCACAAGATGTCAATTAAATTCGATTAATCCCCTGTTAATGATGATAAATATCCTATATCTTATTTAGCACGAGAGACGGATTAAAATAATTCCTTTTTGAAATGAAAATAACTTATCTGATATATTTGGGAACCTCTTTTTAAAGCATCAAAAATAATTATAACTTATTTTCGAATTCCTATATTCATCCGTGTAATTGTTATCTATAATGATCAATCATATGTTGATACAAGATTGTTATAACTAAACTCAGACAGGATAAAAGAGTGCTGTCAGAGAACATAGATTAGTATCTGACTTTCGTGGATATCTGATTCTATGTACTAAAAAGAGCAAAATAGTGATATAGATTAAAAAGGCTGACATATTTATGGGCATTATAATAAAAAAAGGAGAAATAAGAAATTGTGGTGTCTTATTAGGTTTAAAATACTGTCTTAATTTTTGATGATGAGATTAGGTACACAAAAACACAATGAGATAAAAACGAGAACTTTAAGTACAACACGAATCCACCAATGGAACGTCGCGCGTCTTCTTTGGATTGTTCGATAAACCTAATTACTCCGCCGGAACGAATTTAAAGGCAGCAAAACGACAACACAAAAGACGTTCCTCCGTAGTATCCGAACATCATGTATATACGCAAGCGTACGCCACTTAACCTAACTAGATTTTTCACGCCTGTTTGGTCTGTTCTTATCCTCCGCTAACAACCGTAACGGAAACTGACAAGATTGTTTACACGCTAAAGCACAAAGCGTGTTTTTCTTTTTTTAATTTTTTCTTTCAAATAATGGAGAGATAAAGATGTGATTTCTAAAAGAAGTGTATTACGTGGGCCGAGAAAGGGATTAAAAAAATTAACCATCGTCGAGTCGAAACGCGATGATAATAAAAGAAGAGCCTCGCGCGAAACTATCTGCGTTATAAATCTGAGAAAACGTTGCTCGACGCCGATCCCGAGGCGAGAAATTAGTGCCCGAGACCTTGATCTTTTCCTTCTCCTGGGGACCAGCGCCGAGCCCACATACCTCCCTAATTGGACATAATGGTTTGTTAATCACCCTTTGCTTCCTACCTATTATATGTATAACAAATTTTAGTACTTTCTTTTAAAAATAAAATATATACAATCATAATGTATAAATCGGTAATTAATTTAGCCTTTAACAACACTGATAAGATGTATTGATGTACTTGAGTGTTTAAAATATGAACAGAAGAAGAAGATGGATGATGTTAAAAATTACTTAAAGACACAGAGATATATCTATGAATGGTAGAGATCGAATGTGGTCTTTCTGATTATTATTAAACTCCATTAGTACGTCAGAATCTGATGGACAGGCGTTAATCTGAGTCGAACGAAGCCTTTCGAGTTAGACGCCGCAGGTTCCATTGAGCGAAAGGATACTAGACGAGGTCTCTAAGATGGTCTAGATATGGTATCTCTCAATGTCCACGAACGAAATAATACGGACCAAGCAACGTGTCCTTATTTAGCAGTCGCGGAGGTTGTTAGTGCTAATGGGAGAGGTAATTACAATAGAGTAAAAAATGAAAAACAAATACTATATTTCTCTTTGTTTTACTACTTAAACTAATATAAACATAAAAAAGAATAAACATCTAACTTCTTTTGCTTCGAGATTATTATCTTACAAAGGGGAGAAATTGTAGATTTGAGAAAGTTGATTATTTTTAATATTTAAATGATGACAGATAAGGAAAAAATTGTGACATCAGGATATTGGAAATATAAAAATATAACTTGGTCGAATCAACTTTCTAAAATAGATGGTGTTTCGAGAAAGTAACATGATAAAGTCGTCGATTTTATTAACTTATCTCAATAAGTGTTTAACCTAAATATTGTAACAAGTACTCTTGTAAATTTGACGTATACCCAATGAAATAAAGAAATTCATCAGGTAATAAAGACGTCGAGATTTCTCTCTTTTCTTGGACCTTAACAGCAAGGAACCAGCAGCAGGAGCAATCATAATTCCATTGCGTTGTCTTCACCCCCCCTGTTTCTCTTCAGCATGGGTCGAAATGGCCGTCGGCGTCTCCTCGAGACTGCTGTGGCCATTCCGTTCTTATGTTAATAACCGTTCTCCACCGCGGCATCGCTTACCAACCTTATACATAATAAGCGGTTTCTTTGTTTCTTCCTTTACACTTTACATTTTTCCAGTCCACATTTTCGACTGATTTTGACTCAAGAATTAGATCTTGCAAAGAATACAATAATGACTTCTTGAACGCAACGTTCGATATGTAGATGTTTATATGGTGGTTGGAGAAACGATTACGAAATTATTGTTTTTTTTAGACGACATGATTGAGACCCTCGTATTTCTTGGAAATAAACTGTTCTTTGCGAGAGCAGTTTCGACGAAATGGTGCGCGAATGACTTCGCATAAACATATTTTAGATGCGCGAGCTTGGACACCCGCTAAACACATGTCGTCGTTTTGTCTAAGTAGTTGTGTTTATGGTGAGAAGACCGTTTACCAAAGCGGTTATATGACTCTTTAATATCACATATGTTTTATTTTATTCATTACAAAAATTGATGATTAGAGATAGGAAGATTTAATAAGAACTGTATTTAGTATCCCAATTGTTGGCAAGAATTGATATTTTTTTGGTAACAACTCTAATTTCAGGAGAAATAAAAATAATGGCAACCTCTGAGAATCTCTTAGATATAATAAAGTTTCTTTCTATCAACATTATAAAGTAAAATTAAGTGTGTTCTAGACTGGACGTCGCGCCTTTATCTCTTTATGTAGGTATAATAGGCACAATGTAGCCGGCTATTCTATACATTCGAAAAAGGACTAATTCCTCTATTTATAAAATCTTTTAATTGATTCGCCATATCTGAAGATGAAGACATTGGAAATAAATTAGCACCACGATGTCTCTGGAAATTATTCCAACTTCTGATGACTTATCTTATATCGATCATTAATGAACTCCTTCAGTTAAGTCTACTGGAATTGAAGCAAAACATTTATTGCTAAGATATCCTAGATAGCACAAAGTTTCAAGTATTTACTAAACTTTTGTTATTATTAATTTTGTTTGTTATAAAGAAATTTGCAAAAAACAATTTTTATTTTGTTGAAATAAATAATTCATGATAAAGCCAGTTTATTCCAACTTAATCTTTAAACATTAGTACCATAGGTCATTAAAAGGTACTTTCAGCCCTCTCTCAGATTCTGAGGGGTTTATAATCGTTCAGACGTTAAAACGTTCTCCTTTTCGCCGAAAATATATCGAGCCCTCGAAAAGACCCCGCCTCTTATCGTAATGGGCAGCCGACTCAAACAAAGACCTAAATTGACCGTGAAGGTTCTCCAGCCGTAATACTCTCCACCATGTAAGTACTTTACTACTTAGAGCTTCTGCACTTTATTACTTACTATTACAACAGAATGGAACTCAGAATGTTATTATCATGAAACGAGTTTTCTTTCTTTACAAATATGTGTGTATATGTATATACTTCCACGCAGTCATAGAGATATAGTAAGAAAACAAGACATGAAATGTCCACCATAAACTAACATAAACCACATCACGTATTTGCTCGTTTACATATTTATATAACAAGGGGCCTAAATAAATAGTAATTAGCATTTCAAACGGTGGTCGATTCAAGGTTTGCCTTCAACGGTGACCGTGTGTGTTTGGTTTTTCGAAAGAATCTCGTCCCGACTACGAAGGATTTGTTTGCTTGACTCTCTGCGACCGCCTCTTTTTAGTGTCGCGTGTAAATTATTTTAATTGCGCCCTGTACGAAGTACGTGCGTTCACCTGATGTCGGCAAAGTCGTCCCCATGGACTTTTATTACCCAATAAAGTCTTGAAAATTTAAATGCACCCTTTCGACGTGTGAATCAATTATCTTTTTATTAAGAATCAAGTTAAAAATTTTTTACTCTTCTATAAAAGAAATTGTAAGTCTAAATATTTCAAACACATCCAAATGTTGCTAATGTATTTACGTGCCATACCAATCGTTAGTTTTAACACGAAACTTGTTAAGAGAAAGAAACGTAGAAACAACGTTGTGAATTATTCATACCGAAAGGTTTAAAGCGAAAAGTTACAAATTGCTATTATCACTGTGAGCAAACAATAACGACCTTTGCGCACTAGAACAACAACTTTTTCATCGTCTTTTCCGAGTCCTCGCGGAAACGACACACATATAAACACTTCTCGTCCAAAGCGGCGACTTATCCTATGTAATTTACGCGACAAAAAACGCAAAATTCTTCTTATTGGACCGTGATGAGAGGAATCAACGAACGTACCGTGAGAAATTACACACCATAACCACTTTGGTTCGGTTGACTTTATATGGTCAAATCTGTGATGCTTCGTAGTACGAGTTTTAAGTAAAATGTAGAAAAAAAAGATGCTTATATGGAAAAATTGAGGAAATCGTTGAAATATATTTTTGTTTGTTTGTTTTTAGACAAGTTTGTCGAAATTGGTCCTGGACTGAAAACGCCATGTCTGGAGGCGACGCCGGATTAAATCCTTCCATGTCTCCACCAGCCTTACCTTCACCAGGTGGAAAATTACCATCTTTAGATCATGCCGATAGACTATTAGGGAAAGGTTCGCCATTTGCACCACCAAATAACGATCCTCAAAGGCATAGTCAATCAGATGATGATTCCGGATGTGCTTTGGAAGAGTATACGTGGGTTCCACCTGGTCTTCGACCAGATCAGGTATATATAATATCTTTTATTGTTATTTTCTGTGTACAATTAAAACAGAATAGCTACAATACATAATATACAACTTCACACTAATGCCCTCTCTTCCTTCGCTCCTTCTAAGTCGCTCTTCTACTCCATCCCATCGTTGTGCTATATCGCCCTTCTTCAATCTAACCCAACCCTCATCATCTCCTGCTTCAACTCCTCTCTCACTGTATATCCTAGAATATTCCTGCTCAACCCCAATATCCACCTCCAATAACTCTCCTAGATCTCCTCCACCATCTTGTATTTCTTCCATCCCCATATATCTGCACCTGCACAAATCTTTTCCAAATATTCGTTCCCCCCAACTCCATATCTGCCCCAATAATCTACTTGCCCTTCTAACTCTCTGCCTAATATTCCATTCCCACTTTTCCGTCTCTCGCCCTCAAAGAATGTTATATAATCTTCGTGTTTTTAACATTTAATTGTTGCGACTTTGGTATTATCTGGTGTGCATTATTAATAAAAACTTTCAGGTGTCGTGAAAAGTTATAAATAGTAATTTTTGCAACATTATCATGACAAAATAGAACTAAAACTGTCTGAAGAGTTAAGAAAAGACACATTTGCGTAATGTAATTTTGATAATGGGCCACCTTCCCCTTTTTCAAAAACGTTCATTCAAGTCCTCTCTGTTATTACGCTAATGGACCCTTTGTGCTCATCGAAGAGATACACTGTTCTCTATGCTATCGCAAAGATTCAAATTCCAACGTGGAGTAGTAAAATGTATTACTTGCATTTTACATTTTGCGGTTGTACATTGCGAATTACGCCCAAGAGAAGAGTTCAGACCGCAACTAACATCAACTCATCTTATGCAACTCGATCGACTCGAAACCACTAACCTCCCGGCTTAAATTTACCGTAATAATATGAAGCGCGCGGTTTTCGCTTTTGTTATTCTTCTTAGCCGTCGTTTTCGAATTCGTTACGGTTTTATCCTTGCCTTTCAGCTGCGCCATCAACTTGTGCCGGGTACTAAAAGTACGTGACACTCTACTTAAGAAAATCGATTTCTTTCCCTTTTCATTCACAATTGTAATGGTATAATAGTTTTTAAGTTTACTGCTGAATTATTACTATAACAATCGTATTTAATAAATCGAAATAATGGTGGTGTCTTTGGGTAATAAAATATAATTTAATTTGCGGTGGGGTAATAATCGAGACGACGTGTACTGGTCGTCAAATATCGCTATTTCCGCCAGAAAGTCCACCTCCGCACATACAATAATCGTAAACGACATTAACGGGAGGGCGATAAAACGTCCAACAGAGTCCACTTATATTCAATGGTGGAATTAAGAAAGAGGGCGGGGGATTGGTCATAAAAACGGAACGTGAAATAATTATTGTTGCTTTATATCCATTGTGTCGCAACTAATCTAATAAAATTTCATTGCTCCAAGGGTGAAAACGAAAATACCATATTGCTTCTGTTAAAAGGTTCATGAATTTTCCCAAAATACTATACAGTAAAACCTTGATATAACGGATTAAATATAAAAGTTAGAATCTAACTCGGGTTATTCGCCAAGTTACTCTATTTCGTGTTCATAGATAAATTCGGGGTTTTGCCCTAGTCGTCTATACGGCCATACATCTCTTAAGACGGCTAAATCCGTATGTTTCTAGTTCTGGGTCTAGTGTTAGTTCTCATGGTAGTGCTAGTTCTTGTTCTAGTTGTTATTTAGCGTTAGTTTATTGTATATTTTTCATTGATTAAAAAGTAGAACTAGCACTAGACCTAAAACTAGAAACATTCGGGTTTAGTCATCTCGGGCTAAATCCGTGTGTTTCTAGTTCTAGAGTTAGTTCTAATGCTAGTGTTAGTTCTTGTTTTAGCTGTGAGTCTTCAAAGTTCTAGTCTTAGTTGTTATTGAGTGCTAGATTATCGCATATTTTTATTGAATTAAAACTAGAACTAACACTAGACCTAGAACTACTTTTATTCATACAATATACATATGATACACATTTAAATTTGGTATAAATTTAATGTTTTTATTTTTAAAATTAGTTATATGTATTTTGAAATTACCGCCAAAAATATGTCAAAATTGAGTTTTTATTTAATTTTCGAAATTATTAATAGAGAGCGATGTATAGAGTAAAAACATTAATTTATTAAAAAGTATTTAACGTAATTAAATCATTTTTTCATAAAATGTATTCCAAGCTTTGATTATATATAATATGGATTGAGCCAACGAGAGAGATAGCTTGCGCAAGGTGATCGAACCGAGATAGACATAGAAGCGTACTGACATATAATGGGCGTGCGTTAATTTATAAGATAAAAACTATCAATTAGAAGTAACATTTATAATACTTACAGGTGATGTGAAACTGTATTATCGCGAACTTCGCACACGAAACAATACATTTTTAAACATAACGGTGTGACTGGCTGTGACACAACAAAACGATAAACGTCAAATGGAAGAGGTTTGACACTTTTGTGCGCATGCGCCCGTCTGTTTAGTACCGGTTTATGTCTATCTTTGTTACACTTTCACATTATCGCTTTCCATCTGCGTCTATTCACTCACCTTGAACCACATTTTTGTTAGTAGATATATTCAGTTAGCTCAATCCATATTATATATGTATAATCAAAGATTCCAAGTAATAAAAACTGCAAGAATCAAAATTTACGTTCTTTATTTAGTATTCTAAAGCATTAATAGATGGCGGCCTTCTGATAAAGAAAACTTTTACACAAAGGTAATTTTCTGAATTTCTTTTTAAACAAAATTTTTTTATATCTGATTTTCATAAAAAATTATCTAAATTTATATTTTACACAAACATTTTATTGGTATTAAATTAATATCCCCAATAGATGTCACTAATCGCGTAAATTTAAATCTGTCAAAAAATGACATCTAACGTCATAGTATATGTCTTATTTAAGATAAAAATTCTATTTTTAGTTGTTATTCAGTGCTAAATTTAATCCGTTATATCGACGTTTGACTCTATTTCGTTCTTTATGATATGAATATTAGAAATGTGAATGTAAAATGTAAACAAGCATCTGGTAGGAGAGAATAACACGACAAAGATTTCCATCAGCGACATCACCAAACAAAGGGGGTCAGGCGATCAAAAGAGTTAGTGCCGTCGAGAAGCAAAGCTTCGTGGCTGCTGCCATCGCCGGCTCTTGAAATGGCAATTAGTGCCCCCCGAGTGTATCCCGGTGGCCACCCACCCATAACCTCTCATTGTTTATTGCTCGAGGAAGCTGAACGGGTCGTAGCCGCGCCGCCGGATTCTTGCGTTCCGTGACCACCGGCTCTTTTGTAGATGCCAACACCAACAGATGACAGCTACTTCTGCTGTTACTCCAACTCTTTAAACATCATTACCACCAATATACAACATGTTACAAAGATATATTATGTATTTATTTTCTTAGCCATTTACAAGTTCATGTCTTATTGTAATAAATAAGGTATATTAATATTACTTTAGGTCTATAACTCTTAGAACTACTAATTGTAAGTTCAACGTTCAAACGTCCGTTTCATTAAGATTCCATTTCGGAAATATGCTGCTGTTAGTGCTGGCTAACGAAGTAATCAGTATCTGGGTTCGTTAATTACAAGTTACAACGGAACGTTTTCCGATCGTGGGGGATTCTTGTTTTAAAATTTAAAACGAATAACTTTGTATACTTGATTGAAATCATCAATATTCAGTTTGGAAATTGAAACAAAATTTTTAATTTTCTCCTTTTTGTTTAGGTTCACCTATACTTCTCAGCTCTTCCTGAAGATAAAGTTCCGTATGTCAACTCGGTAGGTGAACGATACCGTGTTCGACAACTTTTACAACAACTTCCGCCACACGACAACGAAGTGAGATATTGTCACGCGCTTAGTGACGAGGAACGAAAAGAACTTCGACTATTTTCAGCTCAAAGAAAAAGGGAAGCTCTAGGAAGAGGAAGTGTACGACAATTACCAGCACCTATGGCTTGTGATGCTGTAAGTTAATGTTAAACTTGTTAATTACTTTAATTCGGAGCTTTTTTGAAAATTTTTACATCATTCTACAATCAAGATTTCTTAACTTCTCATTAACTTTAACCGTTCCTCTTTCCTCATCAACGTCGATTCGGTCTTTAATTTGACTCGGGGTCTAATTTAGCGGTCTGCAGTTGGGATTCAAAAAGGGACTCTCTAGTAGTCGTTAAGATGCGGAGAGTCACGGGGTGGAAAATTAGGAAACAAATGAACAATAGGACCGGAAGCGTCACGGTGACCCTGCGGAAGTTTTACTAGCAGTCGTTTAATTAAATACCCAATCGCGGGAGCCCCCTTCGAGTATAATTAACGTCCCGAAGGCAAATTCTGCGGTCCGCCAACGATTACGAAAGTTTCGGTTTTCTTTAATCTCCGATTACTTTAAAACTTTCTCGTCGTTATTACAACCTTAAAAACCACCGCTTTGATTATTATGATCGTTTTTGTATCGATTAACCTTTACATTGAACCACGACCCAGTATTAATAATTAATAAATGTCAATTATTTTTTACTTTTAAGATTTGAATAAGGCCGCGTGCTGGCAACGTTAATTATGCGGGGGCCCACTTTTGTCGTCCGCCCCATTCATTGAATTGTTCTGAAACGGACCCACGCAAAATGCGCTACATAAAATTATAACTTTGAAACGTCGAACACATCTGTTACATCGCGTCCGGGATTTAATACTAGGATTTTCGGGGAGATTATTCCGTTTAAAATGGGAACGCGTCGCCGAAAATGATCCCAGCATGTTGGATTTTATTCCAACTTTCACTCAAAGTTGATTAAATTCTTGTTTACGTTCGTTTTAATTTACTCTCGACATCTTTTCTTTCGCAAAGTTTCTAAAACCACTCAGGTTGTTTAGAATTATCATAGTTTTTTTTAAGATGAAGACGTTATTACGTTATATTTTTGATTAAAATGTTAATTTGATATACGTTCTGGAAGTCGTGGTGTAATCTTCATTAGAAACAAGTTCGACGTGAAAGGAAGGGGTGGTTCAATAGATTTTTATGGCTAAAACCATTTATCACAAAAATCTGTCAAAATTTATAAGGTCTAGAGAAACTGGGGAGTACTGAAAATGGGTTCCCGTTATATTTATTGTGTCTAGTTTAGCCTCGATTTATCATCGACGATAAAACGTCGTGAGTGCAATCTCTCTATCAACAATTTGCGGTCTTGATATATAAAATAATTTCTTTACTTTCAACATCGAGCATACCTCCTAAGAATGACACTTCCAATTTCATACAACCGCCACATCAAATCCTAGTTATGCCCAAATAAAAAGTGTTATGGACAAAAGATGCAAGGTTTCGACAAACAAAAAAATACTAATTACTCTTAGACTATGACGCAACACTCTTTCATAAGCTTAACGGGGTCAGAGCAGGTCAGGGCTGTAACTTTGTAGCTGTCAACGCTGTTTTCTATTCAGATACCAAACAAGTTATGTTTACTCACAACAATTAAACCCCAAATGGCGTTTTTAAAGTCATTTTATTACAACAAATATCTTTCAGATAAAATATCAAAATGTATTTAACAAATCATAATAATAAAGGTAATAACATGAAGACTGTCATAAAGCCCTTGTATCGTGCCACATGATGTAATAAAGTGGAATGTTTCAAAAACCTTTTCGTAAAATTGTTTTGTCCATAATTCACACAATAAACAAGATCCATTTCACTAAGTTTGGAACGTTGATCTCTAATAGTGGTGGAACGGATATCCGGCAACTATCCGGTATCCGGCCATTTATTAAAATCCGAATATTTGGTAACTATCCGGTTTTGGCCAGATATTCAAAACCTATTAGTACTCCACCATCATCATGATTTAGACATCACTGTCTAAAAACCAGTTGTTTGCATCTGACAATTTTCAATCTACATCTGGAATAAAGGCTACTTTAAACTTACTGCAACATTTCTTCTTTATCATTCACACTAAAAATAGAGTGTTAGGATCATCCTGGTGAAATGACACTTGGGTTGGGCTAATTTTTTTCTGTAAATATACATCTACGGACTTTCTTAACAATTTTTTTTAAATGTCAGAATATGATGGAAGAGATCAGTAATAAGATGCGTAATAGGGATGCATCCCTGTTTGTCAAGCTTTATGTTTGGACTTTACCTCGAGACGAGGAAAACCAGCTCTGTGCTCATCTCTTGGACATTCGTCCTTGTGGTCTTTTTCCTTTCGGTGGTCCACACATGCATATTCTGACCAATCTCCTCTCATCCATTTTCCTTCCACCTTACTTTTGTCCATTTTACTACATCCTATATATTACATCTTTCTCTAATAGAGGTGTTGGTCTGCCTATCTCGCAGTGTCACATTCAACATAGATCTCAAGACTTTCATTTCTATCACGCTCATCCTCTGTTTAGTCTTCTTTGTTTTTGGTATCGTCTCGATACCATATGTTAGTATGGTCTCTTTATATATTAAATCCATGTATTTAACCAATTATTTATTTTATTTTAATTATATGTGATTAATAAAATTTCGCTGATTATCTTACTTTAAAAAATAATTAACCATACATATCTGAGACCCTATATATAATATTTGCTAAATTTAAACATCATGAAACCATCTTTATGTAACTCCTTGAGTTCTTAACGTATAAAAAGTAATAAAAGTAACAGGGAGCGATTTAATCAATTTTAATGCACAATTACCGTGGATTAATCGACCGTCAACCATGCTTTTATAAATATTAAACGATAAGGTAGGAAGTCGTTAGTACAAGATATATTTGTATACTTTTTTAAGTTTATTTCCTATAATATACGGGGTGAGTCATTTTAGCGTTTACATTTTACGTTTTTGTAATTATTGAATATAATTTTTTTATCTATATGATATAGTTGGGTGGTAAATTGTGACGAATCGTCGACTATCATTTAACGAATGTGGTGCAGGGGATGTAACTGACAGCGCGACACATAAATTCACCCGGTTCTAATTACGTTTTATGAAAGACCATGGAACCACCCTCCGAATGTCATACCGCGTGCAATAACATTGCGACTATCAACGGAGAGCGACAACCTCGGAATTTATGACAAAATTTATTTCCCTCCTCGAGACATCACAAGTTACCCTTTATTCCACCCTATCTTCAAAATTCTTCGTTATAAACATTTCTCTTCCTCTATGTATAATATTCAATTATCACAGATTATTTTATTGATTGAATTTCAATATTTCTTAAGCTTCACCCTGTATAAATTATTTCAAATCTCATATGACAACTAAAATATATAGCTAAAATTTTCCATCAACCGGAGTTTTAATTTTGCCGGTCGTAATGAACTCGAAGGTAATTAGTAGAAGCTCCCGAAAACTGTTAAAGGGGATGAAGAATCTAATTACCACCGAACGGCGCCTGCGGGACTTTTCGCTCCGACTTTCGCAATTATTCCGAACGCGAAGGGCGCAAAAGAAAAAAAAGCGTCAGTTGGCGCTGCGTTATGAATTTTAAGCAAATATCGTACGGTTTAAAACCCGAAAAAGAAAGAACGTGGTGTGGTGGGGGTTGAAAAAGGAAAGAAAAAAGAATGAAAGAAGTCGAGTCAAGTGGGCCGTGATAAACGAACCCCACGTAAATCAAAAGCGAACCATTTAGGAGTCGCGGTCGAACTCTCGACTCTCCGCATTTAATTGCTTCTCTCTTTTGAGTCTCCGGAGAAGTTAAAAAATTTATTAAAAACCATATATCATCTAGAAGAAAAAAGAATTTTTTTTCCTTTGAACGGTCTTTATTACATTAGACACGCACGTTTTAATAATAAAACGACGAATAACATCAGATTAATGATAAAGAAACAAAAAGAAATTTTTATTTTATCAGAAAAGTTACAAGTAGAAATGTTAGTGCTTATTCGATATTATAACCGATTTCCAGGCGGAGCGTCATCTTCAGGAGAACTTTTTTTTTTCTCTTTGCTAGTTATTATTTATTTAATGTCTCTTTCGATCTTCTTAACTGAGAAAACCATCAAAATCTTCTCTAATGTGTGTTGAGTGGCCGTGTTATTAAGTAGTAATGAAGAAATTTTTTTGTTGTGTCTATTGGAAAGTTAATGACAGCGTTATGGCATTACGATTTTAAGCGGAACTGAATGAGAGGTGTTTCGGTGTGATTATAGAGAAGTTCATTACTTGGCTATTACACTATCTGGTTCCTTTTGGTGCAACATAGACGGTTATCAGTGTGTGTTCGACGAAGGGTTTACATAAACGTAATAAAAATGTGTAGAGTATTTTGTCGTTAGAAGAACGAACTCGTTCTCCGCAACCGACACCATATTATCTGCATAGCATATGATGTTGTGTTAATAAAAGTGTTATTTGGTAGAGAATCGATTGTCGCTTTTTGCAATTTGGTCGGCTTAATTAAATAATACATTGCCATAGATAAGAACACTACTGGAACTGCTTCAGAAAATCCTTCAATCTAGAATGAGATATATTCTAGGTTTAGGAACTCTTTCTATAGGCGCTATAGGGCAGTTTCTGTATTTAATTCCTTTCTTAGCTACAAGATTCAACTTTTCCGGAAATTATTATAGCTCACTTCAACAAAACAGAAATTGGAAGCAAACAAACCTGCTTGTAGGGCCACTAGCACGAGTCAATCCAAAATAACAATAAAAATTCTTAACCTTAAAACACCGTAATTTCCAAATACACACTTTAACTGTATATCTATATAAGCATAAGACTATTTCAATTAACAGAAAGGGCCTTAAACAATTACGACCTAATCTGAAAGCTAAAACACTTAACAACACATACATGTACCTACTTCTAACGGTAGTCTAACGCTTGTTCATTTAGATTTTAAGTAACATCATCGCAGTCTTAAGAGTAAAGTTAATCGTGTAATAACTCTAAAAACAAATTTGTTTCATATGAAACCAAACGGTGTAACAGAGAAAACGACAAGTTAATATTTGTTTCTTTGTTTGTTTCAGTGCGAAGAGCCGTTGTCTTCAGGTGACATCTGCGTGTTCGCGTCGAGGGCGGGGCCCAACACCTGCTGGCATCCGGGGTGTTTCACCTGTTGCGTCTGCCGTGAGCTTCTCGTCGACCTGATCTACTTCTACAAGGAGGGGCGACTCTATTGCGGACGACATCACGCTGAAACCATAAAACCCAGGTGTTCAGCTTGTGATGAGGTGATGATTTTAATACGTTTTTATGAATAAATGTCAATCTATATAAAAATGTTAACCTCAATTTAATTTTTATCTTGAATAAGAAATAATTATGTCGTTACAGAATGTATACCAAATTTTTTTACAATTCCAGATAATTTTAGCTGATGAATGTACTGAGGCTGAAGGTCGTGCATGGCATATGAAACATTTTGCTTGTACAGAATGCGAACGTCAATTAGGGGGTCAACGTTACATAATGAGAGATGGTCGCCCTTACTGCTTACATTGCTTCGACGCAATGTTTGCAGAATATTGCGATTCTTGCGGTGAACCGATCGGTGTTGATCAAGGTCAAATGAGCCACGAAGGTCAACATTGGCACGCAACCGAATTATGTTTCTGTTGCCACACGTGTAGAACATCACTTTTAGGACGACCGTTCCTTCCAAGACGTGGTGCAATATATTGTTCAATAGCTTGTAGTAAAGGAGAACCACCAACACCGTCAGACAGTAGTGGCCCCGGACCCAGAATACCAAGAACAAATTCAAAAAGTAATAATAATAAAATCGGTCGAGTTCCTTCCCCAAACGAATCTTCAAGTACACCACCTGGATCGCCAAATAATAGAAGAATTTTAATGATGGAGGGAGTTATTTCGCCAACGAGTACTCCTTCGCCAACATCCCCGGTTGTTCCACATCGGCAGAATACATTGCCGAAATCAAATACTGGAATGAGATCTCCAAAAATGGGGAGAAGGGCTTTGCAAAGATCTCCAAAGAATTTATCGCCAATTCCAATTCCGATTCCAATACCAACACCGGAAATTGCTCAAGTGATAACACATAATGATGATATATCACCTAGATTGGACAGGGTTTTATTAGAAAGAAATTTAGAAAGGTTAATTAATGAAAAAGGTAATCAAAATCATTCGCAAGATTTAGAAAAATTATTACAAGCCAGAGATCGATGTCGAGAACCTCTCCATCTTGCCGATTTAAGCTTAGAAGAATTTCAACAAACCAAAAACCCTACAATAAACCAATCAAACATCATTGAAAATAAAGAACCTTTAACAGAAAACTCACCAGCTCATGCCTCTTCGATGCCAGAACTTCCCCAACTTCCACAAACATCTTCAACCGATTCCTCAACAACCCCCGGATCTCCATACAAAAAAGGTAAGGTACGTTTTCAAGGTGATAACGAAGCCTTTGAAGCTGACGAAGCAGATGCAGCGAGCGTTGAAGCAAGAAAATTTCCAAGAAGTCGAAGTTATTCTGGAAGAAGTAAACATATTGATACATTAGAAAGGCGGAAACCAAGAAAAACAACATCAGATTCTCATGTTCATCCAAGTACAAGTAAAGACCACCATCACGGTGGTGGGGATGACGATGGCGACAGTTATTGTTCGACGTGTTCATCAAGTTCATCAAGTGATGATTTAGATTATCAATTACCACCTAGAAGAGCGTATGGTGGCGTTAGGATTTCTTATGTTCCAAATGATGCGTTGGCTTGCGCAAGGAGAAGACAAGCTGTAGTGGGCCATAAATCATCGCCGAAAAGACCGTCAATTGATGTTGATAAAGATAAAAATTGTGTCATATCTTGATTGGTGGTGAAGTGTTGTTTTCCAATTACAAGAAAGTCGATTGAATACAAGATTTGAAAAGAGTAGATAATTTATTTTCTAATGCGAAGTTTGCCAAATACTTATAAGATGTACCTATGTATTTAGGTTTTAAGATTAATACCAGTATAGTGAAACCTTGATATAAAGGATTAATAATTTGTACTTTAAACTGTTTGAATGAATAATTTTAAGGTACACAAATTTGAACAGGCATCGAACTAAAAGTAGAGCTAACACTAACACTAGAATATAATATTATTATTATTAATATAATATTTCTAGTTTTAGATCTAGTGTTAGTTCTACTTTTACTTCAATAAAAATATACAAAAATCTAGCGCTGAATAACAATTAAAGCTAAAACTAACGTCTTACTCGGGGAATACCCCGAGTTTATCTATGAACGAGGTCCGTTATATTGAGGTTTTACTGCAATTAGTTTTTCTATTGAAGAAAATACTTTTTCTTTTAATATTCATCAGAAGAATGTATCGTTTTAAATAATATAAAACCTTTAGTACTAAAATACTAAAATTTGACAACATTAAGTGTTTTTTTGAATAACGAACGGAAACAGATAGTTTTGTAATTACATTTTTTTTTATTTGTCTAGAGGTTTTATGTGTTTAAAATCAAAAAATTTTGGAGTGTATAAATTTAAAATTCTCTTATTGTTATAAACAACAAATAATGTCAGCGTTGCCTGTGGACTCTTAACATGAAAACCCCCAAAAATAAACAACACCAAAAAGAAAAATTGAACTGTAGAAGTAATTTTAGTGTAGTTCTTTCATTTCGTTTGTAAGTTAAATTTAGTTGGTTTAACAAAATAATCTTGAAAACCAATTATATTTTATCAAACGAAATGGAATCGACTTTTTATAATAAATTACACTATCTCTTGTGAATATTCTTAAATTATTTGTATTTAAATAATTGTAATTTATACGAATATAAATAATGTTTATTTTCCTCATGTATTTTTGCCATTATAGAATGTTGTAATAATAAATAACTTTATTTATGTGCCGAATTTTAACTATTTTTAATGATTTTATTTAAGAAATTAATTAACCGTACAAATCTTTTTAATTTTTTTTATTTAAATTAATTGATTTAATTTAAAATTGTTTCCTATTATATTTTTACTTCTTTTTGTACTATTTTTTTTAAACAATGTATAATGTATATCGCCTATTATAAAGAACGTCTTCTTTGTTATATTGATTGTAACATATTGTATTTATTTAAATTGAAACGAAACGTATTATGTAGACGCGCCTTTGTAAAGATATTGTAATATAATAAATACTGAAAATACTGATTTTAATAAATACATACAACAAATAATTGTTTTTTGATTACAATTTTGTCCATGTATGGATCTTGCTTATTTTTTCAAAAAGTAGATATTTAGAAGACCGTATCTCAAGAATGAGTTGAGATATCATGAAGAGGTATAACCCTTTTAAAGCAAATTTAATAAAGATATAGAGTGCCAAAAATGGTTTATTAGTTTCGATATAAATCGTAGTTATCATTTTTTTAATCCAACTCGGAAATTTTCGTTGTAAATTTGAGTACAAAAACTTTAAAAGATCGTATCTCAAGAACGAATTGAGATATAATGACGAAATAAAAAACATTTTAAAGCAAATTTAATCAAGATTTAATGTTCCATAAATAATTTCTTATTTTTCATAAATTTCGTCGTTACGATTTTTTAAACTCAACTCTGCTTTTTTGCTTATTCTATCAAAATGTAGAAATTTAGAAAATCGTATCTCAAGAACGCATTGAGATATCATGATGAGGTAATAACCATTTTAAAGCAAATTTAATAAAGATATAGAGTGCCATAAATGGTTTGTGAGTTTCCATATAAATCGTAGGTTATGATTTTTTTAATCCAACTCGATATATTTGGTTGTAGATTTGAGAACAAAAACTTTAAAAGATCGTATCTCAAGAATGAATTGACATTTTTGCTTATTTTTTCACGCCTAACATCAATAATAACACAAAAATTATCTTTATTAACCATTTATTATTTTAATTAATATAAAAATAATCATAAAAAGCATATTGACAGAGAAATATTTAAATACATTGCAAGCGTAAACGTGTTTGAGAAATAAAATTGAACTTTAGCATTAATAATCACTACAATGTTTAATTTTTGTTTAAATTTTCTCAATTAATCCCCTTTGTTGAAACACACCACGTTTCTTCATTTAAAAACTTAATTCAGTAGATACATCATATTCATTAAAAATTTCACTTGTCGAACTTTTTGCTAAATCTATAAAAGAAAAAAAATACTGAAATCATTTTTCTTATACAAAAATATACTTACAACATGCATTTATAGAAATAACAAACAAGTCATAAACAAGCATAAAAGAAGAGCAGAAAAGATAGTTTTTTAATTACACCGTTAGAACAGGGTTAAGAAGTTTAGTATTTATTAACAAAGTTTTTTTTTGTTTTTAAACAATTTGTACCTTAATTTCCTCAACCACTAAATCCATTAAAACAAATCCATCTACTTCTTTATCCTCCTCCACATTTAACCAATTTTCTACCAAAAACAACTATTCAAAATAATAAATAAAAACTACATAAATTAAGGTTTTTTTAAAAATTTTAAACAAAACAAATAATATTTATTTTTCTTTTTAAGCTACATCCACACTTAAAAAATTTGTTTCTATTAATTAATAAGAAATCAGAATGAAAAACACAAAAGAAAATGTTTTAATCAAACTCAATCACCTTCGCAAGTAACATCCAGCTTTTCCAGATAACTCAATAATCCATGAAGACGTTTTTTTACCCGCTTTTGATCATCCAATGTGCATCCGAGTAAAGCATTTTCAAATTTTTTATCAGTTATTCCATAAACATTATGAGAAGCGCATGCGTTCATGTAGGAAATACACCGTTCTCTTGCTTGTTCAGCATCAGTTTTCAATGTAATTACCAAAGAATCTATTAAATGATTTACTTGATGTAATGCCTCTTCTTGAGGTTGATCTCTTTGTGTGTGAATTTTTATATCTACTGTTAAACAACGATCAATGATTCTATCTATATAACGTTGCGTTTCGTCTTGCTCAACTGTAGAAAAAAAATTTTAATTCAAAACCAAATAAACATTGCTGATAAAGAATTATCTTAACTATCAAAATTTTGGTTTTAATTAGCTTACAATTATCTAATTCCGAAATCCATTCAGCATGTCTAACAGAATCCAAGCTAGCCAAAATGTTATCTTTATCCTCCTCTATTTTTGCAGCTTCCTTCCGAAGTTTTTCAACTCTACATTCAAGTATATCAAGAATCTCGGTAATTTTTTGTTTAGCCGATTTTTGATGTACCGCACTATCCTCGTCGATTTGAGGCATCGTTGGTGATAAATTAGAAGTAGCCATCGCTATAATTATCAAAAAAATAAAATAAATACAAATTAATTTCCAACCAAAATTTTAGTACATTTCTTTTACCTAATGCGGTTAATTTACGTAGGCGTTTATTAGATTTATTTGTGGGTTAGAGCTGGGCGATCTTTTTTTAATTCAAAACTGGGTTTTTAGTTCAAATCGCTTTTTTTTCTATTTACCTGTACCTGAGGTACCGGGAATGCAATCTACATCCATAAAGCCACAATTATCGCCGAACGAATACGCGTTTGACGCCACGTTGATTTGTGTTGATTAAGGGTTTTATACTATTAAATAAAATGAAAAATTTTGAGGGCTAACTTTTTTTACGAGAATACAAAGTGCGGAAAACGAACGAACTGGGCCTTTTAACCGAGTTTTGACTTTTGACGTAAAACCGGCTGCCAAAATAAAATTCAACAAATAAAGATAGATGGAGCTGTTATTGAGCAATTTAAAGGAAATGTAATTATTATTTACAACTTAATCATCATATTTATTTATTATTTTTCTTAATATGATTCTTTATTACAATATAAATTAAATAATACTAATAAAAAAAATCATTTTTTGAAATGTAGTTTTTGAAAAATCCCACAGATGGAGCTACTTTACATAGATTAATTTTCTAAATCTCGATTATCATTGAAATTTATATCAATCAATTAAAACAAAATATTTAATAATTCAACAATTCTTTATTGATAATCTAAATATCTAAATAACACGTTTAAAAATATTGCGAGTCCGTAAGATGAGTCACAGTAACATAATTTTTAATCTCATCCAATGAAGTAGGTGTATTTGGATAAAATTTTACAACAGTCGCTTTAGTAATCATCATAAAGCCATTATCGGAGAAAATTCCTTTGATTTTATCAACTTCTAACCATACAAATAAAGCAATACCATCTGTAATAACCTGAATATCGTATTCAGTTCCATCTTTAGTCATTTGTGTTACAGCCCCAATCTAAATAAAAATAAATGTTGTAATCAAATAATTATAGAAAAAGAATGGTAAAGATAAAAACTATACCTTTACTGTACTGCTTCGTAAATGAGAATCTTTTAAAGCTGCTGGAAATAGAAAGTTATCAGGTGCTAAAGGTAAACCGTTATTATCTGTAAGGGATAAATGTAGAAAACATTCGTATTTAGCGGAAATATCTGTTCCGCATTGTGCTTCCGACAATGTGGTATCAACCCAGAATGATGTTATAGATGTTGATAATCCAGACATCTAGAAATAAATAAAACTAAAAAGGTGTTAAAAGCTATCATATGTACTTACAATAATAGCTTGATGATTTTCAGTATGAACTGGTTCAAATGAATCCCAATTATAAATATTTACAGTAGCTGTAGCATTATAAATATTGCTTGTTAAATCAGATACAATGTGAATACTGACATTTCTCGATGTCGATTGATAACCTGCTATTAAAATCGGCGAAAAGAATTTTTTAGCGTAATAATGCAGCATTTTCCAGTTAAGATTAAAATCGATTCCGGACCATGTAGGTGCCATCCAAACATCGTTTAATTGCCAGTATAATGCGCCCATTGTAAAACCTTGATCGATAATATTCAAACTGCTTCGCCAAATTCGATATTTCTCAGTTTGTAATTTAATTCCCATCGATTGATGAATCTAAAATCTTTATATTATAAAAAAGTTTAACAATAAGATGAGAAAAGAAAATTACCTGAGTATAAAAAATATAAGCTTTGTAAAAGTTTTCATTTTCATTTGAAACTATGGGTAATCTCATTGACATTAACGCTAACATTTCTTCGTTTCCACCAGGGTGATGTTGACGATGTTTCATGAAATTACTATTGAAAAGAAGATCTGTAGTGGAATTAGTTGCGGTTAAAAGTGAAGGAATTGTTGGAAAAGATTGTAATCCATATTCCGAAGAAAATCTAGGTATTGGCATGGAATCTTGTTCCCAGCTATCAGTTAAATAATTATAATAATGTACTAAAAAAAATTATTTAATTGAAAAATAAATATTTTACAACATTTTTTACCATCGCCAAAGAAATTGCTCGCTGGATTTAATGCAATGTAACCATCAAGTTCTGATTGTAAACCATTTGTTGGACTTGACGTTAAAAATTGTCTTGATGTATCACTTTTAAAGACTTCATTACGAATAGTGTCGACATAAAGTTTAATAAAATCAGATTTGTAGAGTTCAAAATCGGAGTAAGTACCATACCTATATAATTCAAGTTATTTGGAATTAAATTAGTAAATTTTCAAACAAAAATTAAATTTACCAATCTTGTCTTAAAGCAGCTTCATTTTCATTATTAGCAGCCCATAAAATAATACTGGGATGATATTGTAACCTTCTCACTTGATATCTTACTTCTTCTTTAACCGTTCTAAAAATATTAATTGATTAAAAATTAATTATAGAAGTAAAAGAATTGTTTACGATAAAAATTCTTCATTAACTGGGTACATAGCACAAGCGAACATAAAATCTTGCCAAACCATAATTCCCAATTCATCACAGACTTCATAAAATTCATCCGATTCGTAAACACCACCACCCCAAACACGAATCATATTCATATGGGCTGCCTGAGCTGATTTTAAAAGGAACTGAATGGTCGTGGAGTCGTATCCTTTTTCAGGTAAGATATTTAACGGAATCGAATTCGTTCCTTTTGCAAAAATTGGGACGTTGTTGACGATGAAGTAAAATGATAAACCAGATTCTTGTTTTGTTCCAATTTTATCTTGAACTAAAGATATCGTTCGAAAACCAATTTTTAATGTTTTTTTACACATTTCTTCTTGGTTGGAACTTTTAAAAGTTATCGTCATTTGATATAAAGTTGGATTACCATAACCATTTGGCCACCAAAGATCAACATGAAGCTAAGAGATTTTATTGATATCTTTATTATCGATTGGAAAATAAAAATCTTTGTAAACATTTTATGAAAATAGTTGTGAATGAATTAATTTGAATTTGTATTATGAGAAGCTCCAAATCTTTAAAATTACATTATTGAAAATGAATCATATGGAAAAGGTAAAGATAAAATTGTCTAACAATGAAATATGTTGGTTAAATCAGAGATTGGTAATTAAAAAGTAATTGTAACTAAATTGATTTTGAAAATAATGTTATTGCATAAATTTAATTTATTAAAAAGTAATAATTACCTTAGGTATTGTAAACATAGCGGTATGGACTAATTCTCCATTTCCTATATTTGTAAAACTAATATCATAAATTGTTTCAACAACATCCAAATTAGTTTGTAATCGTATTAATAAATCGCCGAGTAATTCATCGTTTATATTTCCTTCGAAATAAGTGGTCACTTTCACATTCCAATTATCTGATTGATCAGCTTCAGTTGATACTAAAACGTGTCGAATTAATCCGGAATTATAAGCTTCAATACGAACAGATTTCCTATAAAACAAAAATTAAAATGTTGAAAATCATTCATCTAAAGCGATATTTTTTTACCAAATTCCTACAGATGGTAAAGCTGGTCCCCAATCCCAAGAAAAAGATGCTTGCATTTTCCTAATGTGATTCGCATGACATTCTCCGTTATATTCGATTGGAACGCAAGCTGGTGGAACTAAATAGTCCATTGCTTGTTTTTCAAAAAGATGCTTTGCCATAAGAATAGGGGAAGTGAATCGAACTTGTAATGTATTAATACCATTCTAAAATTGTTTAATTTTATAAATTTTGTTAATGATACTCATTTTTTTATTTTTTTTTGTAAGATATACCTGTAAATACGGTAACACATCGAAAATGTATTGTACAAACATATTTTCGCTAGTTCCTATTAGATGGTCGTTGAGGATTATTTGTGAAAATGTGTCCAAACCATCGAAAACGAGTTTGATGTTGTCATGAGCAAGCAATGCTTCATCAACTTAAAAAAAAAATTATTTAGTAAAAATAAATAAAAAACAATTTACTATAGGAATATACAGCTGTATTAACTGTCTGGAATATAGCCAATAACTTCGCCATTTTTGGTTTTAAAGAAAATTTGATTTGAAAAATATTTCAAATAAAATAGTATATTGTTTTATATGGAAGAGAAGCAGTGCTTTTTATGGCGTGGTCTGTCGCTTAGCGACGAACGCAGTGAGTCGCTAATGACAGATGAGCCGTTAAAATTGTGGCGTGTCCGACAGTTTGCCGGACGAACGAAGTGAGTCCGGCAATGACGGACCAGCCACAAACGAATCTGCTTCTCTTCCGAATAAAACATAGTATTTTTTCTTCAAACGTTGCAAATAATACGGCGCTAAAGTGAAATGTTCTTCAACGTTATGGCGCTAAAGTGAAATTTACTTTAGCGCCATAACGCTGAAGTACTTTTTTGCTATGTTGATCTTAGCAACCGTCGTTATGCAACAATGACTTACTTCTACCGCGAGTAAACACGACAACAAAGTTGTCATTTAATGACGTTTGAAGAAAAAATTATTTATTAATTGCGGCGCATTTTTGGCGACACTTACTTGTTTACATTGTTCTTTGTTTTGTTGCTATGGCAACCAACATTGTTATTTTAAATAGGATGAACCTGAATAAAAATACATTATTAATATTTGGATTCTTTGTCATTCGCTTAATTGCGCCATATTTGTTTAAACTGCCCATTTTTTGACATTTATAGCTGTCAACGGTGTTATTTCGACGCCTACTTTGATTACAATTAGCTGATTTAATACTTTCAAAAAACGCATTTTTTCTTCAAACGTCATTAAATGACAACTTTGTTGTCGTGTTTACTCGCGGTAGAAGTAAGTCATTGTTGCATAACGACGGTTGCTAAGATCAACATAGCAAAAAAGTACTTCAGCGTTATGGCGCTAAAGTAAATTTCACTTTAGCGCCATAGCGCTGAAGCACATGTCACTTTAGCGCCGTATTGGAAATGACGTTTGAAGAAAAAATACTATGTTTTATTCGGAAGAGAAGCAGTTTCGTTTGTGGCTGGTCCGTCATTGCCGGACTCACTTCGTTCGTCCGGCAAACTGTCGGACACGCCACAATTTTAACGGCTCATCTGTCATTAGCGACTCACTGCGTTCGTCGCTAAACGACAGACCACGCCATAAAAAACACTGCTTCTCTTCCATATAAAACAATATACTATTTTCTCGATTTTTTTCTTATACAACCATATGATTTGATATGTTCATCGCATAGAGGGACTTATCCTCTACCAAAGTATGCAAAAAAAATATATGCATCCTATTTAAAATAACAATTTTGGTTGCCATAGCAACGAAATAAAAAACAATACAAACAAGCAAATATTGCAAAAAAAATGCGCCATGATTAATAAAGAAATTTGTATTTGAAACATTTTTCTTTAAAACCATAAATGGCGAAGTTATTGGCTATATTCCAGACATTGGACAAACCCTGTATACAGGGTGGTTCAGTTTTTAATCGGGAAACTTTACTAGGACGTAGTACTTGCCAAAATTACACAAGTTTTTTATATAAACGTAGGGTCGCAACTCGTTTGTTTTCGAGCTATGAGCTGTCAAAGTTGAGCCAAAAATTTACATTTTGTTTTGTATTTCGGCTGTAAGTAAACAGTAAAATTAGAAACTTTGTACGTATTTACTACTGGTTACGACCTTCTTTTCAAGCATACCTTAAATTTCCCTAGCGCCCTCTAAGGGGATGAAAATCACCACCCCCTTGATTTTTTTAAGAGAACTTTTTAACGCTATGGAATATTAACATAAAAAAATATGGGTTGTAAAGCTCATTCTTTAGTGGTACTTTTTTGTCTGATTAGTATTTACCTTAAAGTTAATAGTTTCCGTGTAAAAAAATAAAATACCGTAGGTTTAAGTAATATGATCAAAACTGCTCTGACATGTCCTACCAATGCGCATTCAATATGTAATGTAATAAAACTAAAACTTGAAAAAGTTTTCGACGTTTCGTATCTATGTTGCAAGCTTCTTCAGAAAAAAAGTTCGAAGTGGAACTTGTTTCTTGAGACTATAAGTAAATTGAGCTAACATTTTAGCGACATAAGTAGAATATAGTTGATTTTGATTAATTGAGGCAGCTTCACTAAGATTGATAGAACATATTGTGGTGTCATTTTATGTGGTAAGATTAAAATCAACCTTAAAATTAAATCTAAAATAAATAGTGTTTCAATTCAAACCGTTTTAAATTTTTTACTATTTTAGATAAAGAAATGATTTAATTGGTGAAACAAGTTCGCGCATTCAATAAGAGTCGTGCTTAGAATTTGTAACACTGTAAAAAATAGTTTAAAAGTTTTTAACACAATAGGAATATAATATAATAACAAAAACCTTATTGTTAATATTCTTTTGAAAGTCTCAAACAAAACCTTCATACTAAATCTTCATTATAAAGTTATGTTCTAAAATTTTAGTACAGAAATAAAGATTTTTATGAGAGATTATCCATACTAGATTTATTTATCTAGCCTTGATAGCGTTAAAAACCTCTTCAAAAATCGTATCAAAACAGATGAAATCAAAAGATTTATAAATAAAAAAAGAAATTTAAATAATAACATACCAACAAAATTCCTAAAATAAGTCCAATTATTTTGAGCAACCCATCGCGTTTCAACATCTCGAAATCCAAAAAAGACATCTTCCAAGATTTTATTTTCCATTAAATCTGTATAAATTCCGCCGGGAACGTTTGCGTTTAATTCCTGATCTAAATACATCATTAATAATTCAATTAGTATTAGAAAATCAAAAAAAAAATTAAATAAAATTTTGTATACATACAATTTCGTGTTGAATCTTCTAGTTTCCATTGTCCGTCCAATTCTAACACTAATGAACTCTTTACCGTCGACAACACCAACAACAAATATGTTGTTGTTAAAGTTATCGTTGTAGCGGTCCGCATCGTTCTGCGGTTTACGCTACAAATGCTTCAACTATAAATATATACAAAGCGAGGAAAGCAGACGATGATAACGTTCCGTTATAAGTCGTTTTAATTTTAAATCGATACGTAACCGAGTTAGTTTTGAAACACATCGTTTCATCCACTCAACATAATTATCAATTACTATTTTTAATAATATCATGTCACGCAATAATAGATAAATAATGCGTTGATCAACAATAATATTGAATAAATAAATTTAAATAAATTATAATAGTAATTTTAGTGTATGCATTTGTATTATTTTATGGTAAATATCAACAAAAGAGAATGAATCAGTGGTAATCTAATATTAGGTTAATGATAAAAATTTTAAAGTTATAATTTGGGGTCATGTTTTTGAATTTAATAGCTTTGAAAGTTTCTTTAACATTTAAAACAAGAAAATTAACACAGCACAATATTAACAGTTAAATTTGAGATTATATACTGATTTTTAAAAATCTTTTTCAGTGTGATTGAAAAGTCCGAATTTGAATTTTCCTGGATTTACGAATAACCTGATTAAATAATTCTTGGTTTTATTAGCACACAAAGTTTCGATCTTATTTCTCTTCTCATTTGAGGTTATGTTTGTAAATTTTATCGATTTTAATAACTTTAACCCCCGAAAAACTGTCATATATCGCTGATGAATAAATACTCTGCTTAAAAGTGTGATTTTATATAAAATAAGCGATTTAAAATAATTGAATTTTTGAGTAATCATTGAGGTTAAGTTATAAATCTTTTTTTGGATACAAAAATATTATTTTTAATAGTATTTAACACAATATGTTATATTTAAAGTAATAAGGTAATACCTATACAATAATAAACAATACTACCCCAAATAACAATAAAAAAACTCGGTTTATGAAAACTACGATATCCATACAAAAATAGATTTTTAACACAAATAACTACAAAAAAAGCTAGCAAACAAAAAAATATACTAGGATTAATTCCATTATCCGTGACAGCTAATTTAAACCTTATTTCGATTAGTTGTGTTCTGATTCTTTCAAAATTCATTATTAATTTTAAACTCTTAAAAAATAATAATTATTTTAAAAATCGTTTTATATGGATAATGGGGGGTTTTCTAAATATATTACAATTTAAGATTTGTGATCCAATATTGTTTTACAATATAAAATCATTTCATTTGTTGTCGTTTCAAACAATCAGAAACATGAATTTCGTAATCGGTATTTTCGACCATTTCTTTATCGCAAATATTGCATCTTACCATCCTTTTTGGTGTTTGATTAGATGCTATTTCAAAAATCACAGGATTTGTCATGCCCAAACCGCAATTTGAAGCGTGAGCCTAAAAAGAATTTAAAAAAATTCATTTCAAAATTTGAGGTTAAGTTAAAATGTCTTACTTCAACTTCATCTGATTTAAAATATTCACTACAAATCGGACACATCATCGTACTTTTAGTTCTACGTTTCTTATTTGTACTATTTGGGGGTAAATTCTGTGAATTTGATGCACTAACAGAAGGAGAAACTTGCAATATTGGTTTTAATGATGATGTGACTGTTTCACTAGCTTCCATTTCTAAAGTTGAGCGTGTTCTTTTTGATATTCCTTTACGCCCACGTATAGGAGGAGGTATCCTTCTTCTTATCACTGGAAATTCCTCTGCATCTACCTCTTTCACTTCTTCTTCTGAATTATCTGATTGAGTGAGCCAAGCTGGGTTTAAATTATATTTTTTTTCCTGGGTATTTGAATTTTTTAATAGTGATTCTGTTACTGATTCTTCCCCTTGTTTTTTCTCATTCAATGGTGGTTTACTTAATGTAGTACTTGATTTGGGTGAATCATTAAAGAATCGTGACCTTTGCATAATTTGCTCATTTGAAAGATTTTGAATTTGTTGAGTTCTGAGTGTTGTAGGTGAACAATTAAAATTTTTATCACGTTTCTCCCGCTTATTTTGATTTATTTTTGGACTAGCATTGCATTCAGAGTAATCTTTTCGTCTTGTATGCCTACCAGATCTGCAATAAAAATTGACATTTTCTTTTTTAGGTTATATTAAATGTCATAAATGACATTAATACTTTTACCTAGAAATGTAAGTTTCTTCAGATGGCTCACCAACATCTTCCATAAATACATCATTTACATTTATAAAGTTACATGGAATATCTTTTCCAAATGATACGAAAGTTTTTGATTTTTTATGAAATTCGGAAAATATTTTTATTTGTTGCAAATGAAATTCAGATATAATGTTTGCTCTGTCATCTACAGATAAATTTGCATATTCTGGATCATGATACGGTGGTAACTTATAACGCAACGGTCGCGTTTTATGGTGAAATTTATAAACCTTGGATGGTTTACAATTCATTGGATCTAAAATAGCATTTTCTATAACATCTTCCTTGCTGTTATCATCATTTGTATCCATTTTCATCATTTCCCCTGATGTATTTTGATCAGCACTATCATTTTCTACCAACTCAACACTTTCGTTTTGTCTGCATTGATCTTCCTCTTTAGCAGTGTTCTCTGAACATTTAATTGCATTGTAATAGCTCAACATTTCATCTTCATTCATGTTCTCTTCATACATCCCTGCATCTAAATACATTTTTATATAAATAGTTTTCATATAAACATTATTTGTCAAAAATACCTTGCAAAAACTTTTTTAACTCCTCTGTATCCATGGCAGAAGTCATGCTTTTAACGCTTTCTAGTATAGACTTTTTTGACAAGAACAACTATTTCACATTGAAAAACAACACTTTTTGTAGAAACGAGGTTTATTTTCGCGCTTATCCAAAACATTTATAGGTTAGGAGAACGTAGCATTCGAAAACTGTATACATATGAGATGCGCATTGAAAATATATATCTCTTCACGTGGATTGGCTCAAGAAAAAAGTCACGTGATGTATATCTAACATCTCTAACATTTAACAATAAAAAATTTAATATTATTTTATTTACTATATTTTTAAAATTGATTAATTATTTGCAAATAGAATGAATTATTAAAATAATAATTGTTTAATACTTTTAATATTTTCAACCTAATAATAAGTAAGGTTATGTATATTCTTATAGAATAATCTAAAAACTGTGGAGGCAAATATAATATTCTCCAATCCTTTTTATCAATTCATCGCAGTGGCAGAGCTAGTTTTCCAAATACCTACAGAATAATGTTTTTTATCAGATCTTTTTCTCTAAATTGGACATATTTGTTACAATAACCTTAAAAAAAGCTCAGGATAGTTTACTGGGGTTGTGTTGCCAATTTTTGAGAAAGGCAAAGGACTATGTAGTCATTGTCTGTATCAAATTTATCAATTACATGGAATTTTGTAATATTTGGCTTATTCCATATTTGGATAACAATTTTGTCATATATTTTTATGGCAATAAGTTATCAATTATTAAAATATTCCAGGTTGCTTTTTATTTTAATTAAAAACATGAAGAAAAAGAAAACATAGCTTATATAACATTTGTTGAGACAACATTTTCACAAGTCAAATAATTTTCTTTTCTTGGAAATACCTCATCCTATCATATCATATCAACAAATATCATACTAACTATAGAAATAATTCTTATTTATCAATGTTTTATTAAGTTAAATTTCAAACAAAAAGAACACAATCCTAATAACTTCTTCCAAACAAAGTGTAATATTTAGGTTTGTTTCCACAAACGGGATGGATACATTTATCGTTATCTTTTAGTTGGGCAGGTTGATCCACTGGAATACAAAGGGATTTAGCCCCCATTGATGGTGCACCAGGATCAGAGTCATCAGTCCTTTAAAAAATTGAATTCATTAATCACTCAAAAAATATATTTATCATTACCTTGCACTATCAGCTTTAATTCTATCCTCACAATAGGTTTCACCACAAAATGGAGATAAAATTATATTTTTGTTATCCAAATTTGGTGCGAAATCTTTCCATTCAGTTACGATAACTGTATGAGAAGTCAAATCTTTACAAGCTTTCGCGTAAAGATTATGTTGAATGTCGTCTAAGAGTCGTTTAATATCTTTAACAGCGTTATCTCGTTTGTAAACAATTTTTTCCCCGGTATCTCTCCTCACAGCAACAAATTCGGCTTTCTGTATATCTTTTGGGCCCAATTCAATGCGAATTGGAACACCCTTTAATTCCCAATGATTAAATTTCCAACCTGGTGAATAATTATTTCTATAATCTCCTTTAACTTTAATTCCAGCCTTTTTAAGATCATCTTCTAACGAAAAACAAGATTTGCGTAATGTTGTTCGATCTTCTTCTGTTAATTTCACCGAAACTCCACATGGAACTATAACAACTGTAACAGCAGCTACACGTGGCGGTAAAACTAAACCTTGATTATCAGCGTGTACCATTATCATTACACCAATTGTTCTTGTTGTTATACCCCAAGAATTTTGATAAACATATTGTTTTTCTTGCGTTTCTGCATCTTCATAAACAATTTCAAACATTTTTGAGAAATTTTGACCTAAATGGTGAGATGTTGCACCTTGAATACCTCGCCCACTCGCAGAAACGAAAGCTTCAACTGTGTAAGTATAATCACCACCAGCAAATTTTTCTTTTTCTGTTTTACGACCTTTTACAACCGGTATTGCTAATAAATCAGTGTAAATTTTTGCATAAAGATCTAGAATAAAAAAAAATTATGTACAAACTATGTTACATCTAATTTCATTTCTAACCTAAAATCGTTAAAACTTCTTGTTCAGCTTCACTTTTTTGTGCATAAGCAGTATGACCTTCTTGCCATAGAAACTCTCTCGTTCTCAAAAATGGTTGTGGGTGTTTAAATTCCCATCTAACAACATTATTCCATTGATTCAATTTAATCGGTAAATCTCGAAATGATTGAATCCATTTTGCGTAAGATGGATACATAACTGTTTCGGATGTTGGTCTAATAGCGACTGGTTCAGCCATTTCCGAACTTCCGGAACGGGTGACCCAAGCAACTTCCGGTGCGAAATCGGCAATGTGAGTCTTTTCTTTTTCAAGGACGCTCTGCGAGACGAACATTGGGAAGTAACAGTTTTGGACGCCCAATTTTTTAATTTGAGCATCAAACCAATCTTTTATCGCCTCCCAAACTGCAAACGACCATGGCCGGAAAATGTAACAACCAGAAACGTCGTAATATTCGATCATTTCTCCTTTTGTTATTACTTGGGAATACCAATCAGAGAGATTTTCTTCTTTTTTTGCTTCTAAACCGAGACGAGTCTGCTTTTTAATACCAGTACTATCGTCAATCTAAAAAAAAATTTAGTTTGAGTTTATAATTACAGTAAAATCTCGATATAATGGATTAATATGGGGAAGGGAGTGTCAGTTAAATGAAAATATAAAAATATACAACAATCTAAAGCTGAATAACAATTAGAACTAAATCTACCGTCCTTGATTTATACATCATATAGACAACTCAGAGAATATCCAGAGTTTATCTATGCACATGGTATGGAGTAACATCGGAAATAACCCGAGTTGATTCTATTTACAAGTGCTAACATTTATATTTAAATATATTGATGTATCAAATTGATAAAATTAAGAGATTCGAGATTCGTTATATCGAGGTTTTACTCTTTATCAAAAACTTACAGTAACTTTCTTCATTTCTGTTGTAGCATTACATTTTGCAACAGCTTTAGGTGGATTTGTACTAGTACCCTCTAAAAAGAACAATAAAATAAATAAAATTTAATAAAAATCAAATTTTTATTTTTAATAATATCTTACTAGCTTGCGGAATTACAGCTTTCCATTCTTTTCCGGTTATACTTTTATATTCTTCTTTCAAAGCTAATAAAATTTTTACTTCTGCATCAATAATCGATTTTTCAGCTTTATTCGCTTTTAAATCTCGAACTCTATCGCCTTGGGTCGCAATTCGGCTTAAAAGGTCTTCGTTTTCATTGGTTTTTAGATTAACTTCTATAGCAGAATAGGAAGTGCCAGTATCCAATCCTTTAGAAGGTTCCATACCTGGTTTCCAATCTTTTCCGGATACCGTTTTAAACTGTTCTTTTAATCCCAACAATGTCTTAACTTCTCCATCGATAATAGATTTATCAGATTTCTTCGATTTTAACTCGCGAATTTTGTTACCTTGATCTTTAATTTTTCCTAAAAGTTTATCTTCTTCTAAGCTAACGTTTGACGGCGTAGCCATAGGTAAATTTGATGATGTTTTTGGACCATTTTCCGGTTTCCAATCTTTTCCAGTTAAGGCTTTATATTCCGATTTAAGGTGCAATAAAGTTTTAACCTCAGTATCGATTTCGGTTTTACTGGCTTTTTTTGATTTTAAATCTCGAACTTTATCTCCTTGGTCTTTTATTTTTACCAAAAGTTTATCCTCTTCTAAGCTAGCATTTGACGGCGTAGCTAAAGGCAAATTTGATATTTTTGGATTATTTTCCGGTTTCCAATCGTTTCCTGTTAAGGCTTTATACTCGGATTTAAGGTGCAATAAAGTTTTAACTTCAGTATCGATTTCTGTTTTAGTAGCTTTTTTTGATTTCAAATCTCGAACTTTATCACCTTGATCTTTTATTTTTATGAATAAAGATGATTCAGTAACAGAACTAGATGATGGAGTACTTATTGGTACAACTAAAAATTAAAAAAAAAACGAAAATAACGATTTAATTTTTAGTTTATAATTGACAATCCTTGAATGATTGTCACTTTACTTACTTGATTCCGAACAATCTTCAGGTTTCCAATCTCTTCCAGTTAACAATTTAAAATCAGCTTTTAATGCCAATAATTTTGTTACTTCCTCGTTAATTGTAGATTTATCTGCTTTTTTAGCTTTTATATCACGAATTTTATCGCCTTGCTCTTTAATTTTTACCAATAAAGCATTTATTTCTATGCTAGCATTTGATGGGGTCGATAAAGGTAAAACTAAAAATTCTCTTATAAATATTATTTTTCTGGAAAATACTACAACTAACCTGTTTTTGAAGAAACACCTGGAGGTGGTTTCCAATCTTTTCCTGTTAATGTTTTATAATCGGATTTTAACGCTAATAAAGTTTTAATTTCACAATCAATAGCTTTTTTATCGGCATTTTTCGATTTTAAACCGCGAACTATTTCACCTTGCGAAACAATTTGTTCAAGTAGCGAAGTTTCATCGCCACTTGATGATGTTGAACTTGCTATAACGGAAGATGTTGACACTAAAAAGAACTGTATTAATAAGGTTTTTAACTATTTTGATAAAATTTACTTTGATGTATACAATTAATTTTGAAAGATTAAAATCAATTTGACACTTATCAAAAATGACAAGAATAATAATTTAACTGAGTAGGTAAAATAGTATTCTTTATTTAAAAGAATTTATTTTTAATCCAGATACTTACTATCTATTGGTGGACTGGCTACAGCTCCAGGTTTCCAATCTTTACCAGTTAACTTTTTATATTCACCCTTTAAACTCAGCAATAACTTCACTTCTTCATCAATAATCGCTTTTCCAATTTTCGTAGTTTTTAATTCGCGCACTTTATCACCTTGAGCACCGATTTTTTCCAATAAAACGCTTTCATTTGATATTACAGATACTTCTTTAGTAATATTCGCCTAGAAATTATATGATGTGAAAGTTACTTTCACAAAATGACCTAATAAAAAATTTAACTAAAGAAATTTATCTAAAAATTACCTTAGGTACAATTTTTTCAGACGATTTTTTATTGATAGGAGCTGTAAGATTTGCTTCTTTTGTATGACCATCAGGAATATTAAAAAGAATTATTGGTTGTTCTTTACATGTTATTAAATCAGCTGGTTCGTACGGAACATCAACAATAAAAAAACCGCGACGCTGCAATTGGATTATATCACCTTTCTTTAATTTTTTTAGTTCTGGGTCTCCTAACATTTCAGTCTCAACCTACAAAAAATTAAAAATGTCAAAAACATAAATTTTAAGTAAAGAAATCTCACCCTTGTTGTATGCCCAACATATTCTTTAAAATCTTCATCTTTTCCTAATAAAGCCTTACTAATAATATGATCAAAATAAACACAATATGTTGGTGTAAATGGAGCTGAACTAGTTTCAGCTAACCATGTAAGTTTTAAAGTTTTTTTATAATCTTTATTTTCTAAGTTTGGTTCTGCATCAACTGATGTTATCTTATCACCATCCCTATAATAAATTTAAGCCTCTATATAAAAATTTGAAAAAAAAAACTTTCTTTACCTATTAATCTTTTTAATCATTAAATTGCCCCAATTAATAAACGTTGTATTTTCACCTTCCTTTAAACATTCCGCATCAACGGTATCAATTAAAATGCGAGGACCCAACCAAGTATCTTTTAATCCAATTTCAGTATTCTTAGGATGTTTCGCCACTGCAACTTTTTCTAATTTAACATTTTTAACGTTAACCACGACATTATTAGAACTATCCACAGCTGTAAATCTAGGCGCAATCGGATCAATAACTTTTTTATTAAACGCCCAAATTTTGTCCCATTCCATAAACACAACAGATCGACTTGAACCTTGAGCTATGATAAATTGTTTTAAACCTTCAACGGTCATACCTCGACGTAAAACACCACGAACAGTTGGAAATCTTGGATCATCCCTAAAAAAAATTTTTTTAATGGGTCTTTTAATTTATAGTGTACGAATCCAATTATGCCCCACAAAAATATTGGTTAATTAGTTTTTAAGTTGATCATAATGAGCGTTATACCTCTATACAGGTTTATGCAGGGAAGATGCGAAAAAATGTTGTTCGCAAAAATTGTTGCAAATTCAACTGCAAAGAAGTTTTATTTGAAATATTTCTTGATATCAACAATCATTATTGATGTAACCTCAAAAATTTTCTTTTTATACCAATGTTCAGCGCCACTTGGTGGAGATATCAAAACGATTTATTAAGAGGATTGTTTTTAAATGTTATTTTAAATTTATATTGTAGAAAACTTTTTTGATAAAAGCAATATTTATGGATTATAGGAATATACTAGGGTACATAAACATATTTATAGAAATGCATTATTATAAAGCTCATTTGCAATTGATTAAGCCAAATATGCCTTATACAAAGTTGAATAGTTCAGGAATTATTTAAATTTTTTGGTTTTTGCACATTTTCAATATATACTACAAATATTGGAATTTAGAGTTTAATTATAGTTTCTTTGGCATCACATTGACTTCTCTGGATAGACTACACTTTAATACATTTTAAGTTGAAAAATGTTTTAAATATTTTTCATGAGTTAAGTTAAATTTTATACAAAATAATTTTTTATGAGCATCTATTTCAAAATTTCGGATTTATGTTTTGATTTATAACAATATCTCGAATTGTTTCCAAAAAAGACATGGTGTCTTTGACAGGGACATAATAATATGTCTTACCATCCATCCACAATTTTTTCTTGTACAAACCACGCCAATTTTCGTTTACTCAACACAGTATTTGTCATTGAAAGGCGACTATATTCCCATATGTACGGTTTTCTTAAACCTAAAGCTTCAATAAACCAATAAAATTGAGCGTCCCGATCATGATATTCCATAGTTCTTAATGTATGTGTAACACCTTCAATTGCATCAACAATTGGACATGCAAAATCGTAAGTTGGATAAACTCTGAAATAAAAAAATTAAAATTTGAAAAACTTTCCTTTAGATTTAACATAGAATATTTAAAAATTTACTTGTATTTATCTCCTGTTCTTGGATGGGGTTCATTTTTGCATCGATAAATTGTTGGATCTCTCATGCAACCATTTGGTGATTGCATGTCTATTTTAGCTCTAACACAACATTTTTGGCCCTGTGTTGACCCTTTAACCATTTCCTGCCACATTGATAAATTCTTTTCATAACCTAAAAAAAAATGTCAACCCCCTTTTTGTGCATAAAAATAAAACATACTATTATTTCTATTAACAGAATCAACTCTTTGTTCTCTTTCCATTTTCATTTGTTCCGGTTCAGTATCATCACAGTATGCTTTCCCATCTTTTAACAATTTCTCACAATACCCCAACATAATGTCGAAATACTGAGAGGTGTGAGTAAACAGGTCTGGTTTAATCTCAAGCATTTCAACATCTTCTAAGATAACTTTTTCAAATTCAACTTCTTCTTTAGCTGGATTGGTATCATCAAAACGCATAATAAATTTACCTTGGAAAGCTTGCTGATAATATTGATTTAGTAAAGCTGCTTTAGCATGTCCAATGTGTAAATATCTATTAAAAAAATTATTTCATATTTAAAAATTTTTGATTAAGTTGTTATCTAACCCTGAAGCTTCTGGTGGGAATCTAACCACAACTTTCCCCATTTCAGCTCCTGGAAGATCAACGAACTTTCCTTCTTGTGGTCGACCACCTGCATTATTTTCAGGAGATTGTCTACTTGTTGAAAGTGATGCTTGAACATCACCCGGAAGTGACAACAATGATGAAATAACCCATTCTTGGGATGCAATGAAATTAAACCATCTTAGAACATGTTCCGGGCAATTCTTTGTATCTTTTAAAAGTTGCCATTCTTTGTTTGCATATAATGTTGCAAATACAGCACAATCTGCTATTGTAAATCTTTTTCCAACAATGAATGTTTTTGGTGACAATGACTTATTTAAATAAACAATAGATTTATTGAAATCACTACTTGTAGATAAAGGTCCAGCAGCGAAAGTTAACCAATGATCAGTTAAACTCCTTTCCCAAGCATCTATTCCATACAATTTTTCCATGGCACTTTTACGACTTATACCTCTCAAAACGTCATTGTTACTTATACAGGTTATCTTTTCTTTGTCGTCTTCAAGACACATTTCATCGCCCCAAATAATTTCGATGTTAACTTTTGAATCTATTTTAAGGTATTCAATCGCTAATAATCCGCCTGTCAAAAAAGCATATGTTAAATTTACGGTAAATTAATGAAATTATGAATCATTACCTATAGGAGGATTTGTTTTATTGCAAAATAATTTCATGGCGTCTAATAGTGGGGTTTATACCCGGTAATTGTGTTATGGTATGGTCAAATATGATGAAATTTTTGATGGGATGGTGTTACACGACACGCCACAATGACAGCTATCAAAAAATTGAGGTTAGATTTGTTACCAACTTAAAAAATAAATTAATTTTATTAGGTTAGTTTTAAGTTTTTTAATAGAATTATTTATTAAATTATAATAAAAAGAAGTAAAAAAGGAAATAATAATAATAATGATTATAAAATTATTTAATACTGACAAATGACATAAATTTGACCACCTATTTCATTTAATTTAATAAATGCAAAATAATTATAAAATTGTTTATAGATGATAAATTATTAAAATCACATCATACCAGGATTCTTCAAGTGCAATAAATTACAGAATAACCTAGAAATGTTCTTTATATGAAAAATGTAATACATAAACATGAGAAATTTTATGGTTAGTGATGCTTTTGCCGGTGCTTTAATTTTTGGGGGATCAGTATGCTATTCAATTTATTGTGTTTATAAAGTTAGCACAGGTAAGATTTATTTACTTATTTTTCAATTATTAATTATTTGTGTTCATTTTTAGTTGTTAATTCAATATCAATTCCGAATAGTGAATTCTATTTTAATGACGGCTGGAGTATTTTGAAAAGAAAACGTGATATTGTTGATGAAGAATGGGAAAACGGAAAAAATTTATATGTTTCCCTAGCCCCTTGGTTATTATTTCAATCAATAATTTCAGTATTATTCCACCATAAAAGTTATCTTAATTATTTATATATGTTTCAAATCATTTGTAGTGCTTTATACATAATTATCAATTTAAACTTACTTTCTTTCATATTAATTATATTACAGCCAATTACATTTCAACTTTTAATTATTACCATAAAGTTTAAAAAGAGAGTTATTTGGGTTTGCTCTTTAATAAATATTATGATTTTTTTTAATGTCAATATTAAAGTGGTATATGATTTTTTTCATCAGCTACAACTTACTGATAATCAAGTTGATTTATTATACATTGCTTTGTATTGGATTAATATACGATGTGTGTGTTATTACATTGATTATACGGAAAACCCATGGAAGTGTAATATCACACAATCACTTTCTTATTGTTTATATTTACCACTATTATTTCTTGGGCCCTTCATTCAATATAAAGATTTTAAAAAGTGTCGTGAGTTTAATAACGATCCTTTAAAATTACGTTTATTATTATTTATGAAAAATTTAATTCGATTTATTTTTTGGTGGATTTTTACTGATATTTCTTTACATTATATTTATGTAAATTTTTTTCCATTCTTCCCCGAGGTAATATAAAAAGTTTTTAATTAAAATTTTAATCATTTCTTTTAATTTTTAGTTAGTAAAAACGTTTGATTCTGTTACTTTATATGGTTTTGGATATAGTATGGGTCAATTTTTTCATTTAAAATACGTTGTTTTATATGGTTTGAGTACTACTTTTGCTCAATTTGATGGTATACCAACACCAAATATTCCAAAATGTATTGGACGAATACATTTGTATTCAGATATGTGGAAATATTTTGATAATGGATTGTATCAATTCTTATTAAAGTGTTTATTTGTTATTATTTCTTAACCATATAATTCTTATTAATATTTTTAGATATATTTATATTCCTGTAAAGAACTTCACATCATCACCATATGTTTCAAATATTATCTGTTTCTTATTTATTTTTGTATGGCATGGTTTTATGAGGATGGATATTTTTGTTTGGGTTACCTTGAATTGTCTTGGTGTTATGATAGAACGCTTCTTCAAAAATATTGGTTTACAAAATTATTTTAATATTTTTTGGGAGCGACATTTGAGTTGTATGATCAATGCACCTCTTCTGATGATGTCTGCTATTTCAAATTTTTATTTCTTTGGGGGCACAACAATTGGAAATATTTTTGTATATCGCGTTATTGAAGGTATATGATCTGATTTTGTTATTTAAAATATTAAATTATATTTAATTTTTTTTAGATAAACTTTCATCTACATTTATTTTGTTGTTTACTTTATATAGTTGTGGACTATTTTCGATTTATGTTAAACAAAAAGAGATTGGAAATAAAAAGTTATCGAATAAAACATCTTAAGAAACCAACATCTGTAGATTTATATTGTGTGTGTTAAAATAATTTATTTATCTCAAGTGGGTACAGAAACGGGTCGACCCTAATAATACTATACCACAAACAACCAGTTGTATACAAGTTAAATTACAGTTCACAATAATAATAATGAATTAATAATATTGCAGCAAAGAGCAATTTTTTAAATGCGTAGATAGAATGTTGAAACAGATCTATGTTAACACGATTTGTGGATCTTGCCATCCTCAATAAAGGAGAGTTTTGACAGGCATTGTTTCTAGGAGTAGGTGTTATAAATAGAAAGTCAAAGCGAAGTAATCTTGGACACCTATAGAATCAACAAGCATTGGAGAATCGCATTTGTTGTTCAAAACTTCATAAAAATATAACATATCCCATAATAAATTCTAACATACGCCAGAATCATCAAATGTAACTTCTGCAACTTCTCACCATCTGCGCTATAATTGTAGTGAATTGTGTTGACCCTAATAGAGAAGGAAATAATATTACACTTTGATAAGTTTACTGAAAGGCGATTATTTAAGCAAAAAGCATGAAGATTATTTAAATCAGATTGCAATCTAGAATAATCAAGAGGTGAGGAGATACAGAAAAAGAGTTACATCTGCACTCTTCTTAGCTTTAGTAGAAGCCTAAAACACCTTTGGGTCAGATTGGATATTGTTTTCAGCTCTTTTAACATACTCCATGTATTAAGATGAATTAGATACTTTGCACGACTCCTTAGAATTGAAAAAGTAAGGTAATCAAGTCGGGTGCCAAAACGTTTCCATTTACCGTGCGCCCCCTTTTCTCTCGAATTACTTTAATGCAATTATGTGAAAACAAAATAGGAAAACCCTTGGTAGCTTTGCGTTTTAATGGGATAAAGTCACGTATTGCAATATTAATATAGTTATAAAAAATTTGAACAGCGTCATTGATATCACGACCATCAAGTTCTAATTCCCAGTCAATTTCGTTAAAGTACTCATTTAATTCAGGAAACCGGGCTTTTCTAAAACAAAAAGCGTGATGTATTACATGTAGAACGAGCAAAATGAATTGAGCAGGAAAACTCAAGAGTGGAGTGCGCACTGTCCTCACGAACCAACGAATCACTACAAAGAGAAATGATCCAGAAAATCATAATGGAACATATTCAATAAAATGATAAAGATTATTTTGCAAAAAATCTTCATATTAGCTAACAGTTGGGTTAATTATTATTTAATTATATAGATTAGAATCCCGTGCATGCAGCCGAGTCGGCGATCCTTATTTATTTGTGCATAAATGTAGTTATTATAGTTTTACTTTCTCTGTTATTTTACTACAACTCGGTTTTATTGTTTTAAATTTTTGTTAAAAAGTTGTTAACATTTTCGAGAATAATTATCTTAAAGTTTCATGATTTTCCATTCATTTGAGATAGAAAAATAGCAGTAGCTATGCGTAACCATGGCAACCAACTGTTTCAGATGTCAAAAATTAATCATTGTCTTAGGCCCACTTTTACCATCCTCCTGATAAACTATCTAGAGGATAGTTGCCATGGTTACGGCGATTTTAAGCGCTCTCATTGGCTAAGAACTGGATTTATCTATCGGATAAATTTATCAGGAGGTGGTAAAAGTGGGCCTTAATAAAATATCTAAAACAACTGGTTGCCATGGTTACGCATGGCTACTGCTATTTTTGTACCTCAAATGAATGGAAAATCATAAAACTCTAAGGCAATTTTTCTAACTAATAGTAATATTGGCTGTACAAAATTCAGAAAAAATCCTCTTTCATATTCTGTAATAATAATGGGGGATTGCAATTAAAAAAAAAAGCGATGACGTCATAACTAGCTTAAAAGTGGCGAAAATTTTTCTATAAACGGTTTTATCCACGACTACCTTATAATATATACCTTATGAATGAGTTTTCTAAAACAAAATGGTAGTCATTTTTCACGGACTGAATAATAGCGGTGAATAATAATCATTATTCACGGGTAGCCATCTTGATCAGACTAATAATAATTATTTGAAACGTTAAAAGTTCAAAAAACGTTAATTTAATTCAATTTTTTAGTAGTTTCTAAATGTTTGACATTAAAAAAACCTAAACAAATTCCTTTTTTCGTATGATTTAAGCATAAATTAATTAATCTTCGTAAAGAAAACGACGTTTTATAAAACTGACATCTAATTTTGACAAATTGTTATGAAGTTGGTTACAGTTGTAACATTGAATTTGTGTCACATTGACGTTTAACCTTTATTCAAAAATTTATTTAAAAAATAAATTTGTCCACGACTACCTTATAATTTATAATATATACCTTATGAATGAGTTTTCTAAAACAAAAGGGTAGTCATTTTTCACGGAGTGAATAATAATCATTGTTCATGGGTAATCAACTTGACAGACTAATAATAATTATTTGAAACGTTAAAATTTTAAAAAACATCAATTTAATTAAATTTTTTAGTAGTTTCTAAAGATTTTACATTAGAAAAACCTAAACAAATTCCGTTTTTCGTATGATTCAAGCATAAATTAATCAATTTTTGTAATAAAAACGACGTTTTGTAAAATTGACACTTAATTTTGACAATTTGTTGTGAAGTTGGTTACACTTAGTAACATTGAATTTGTGTCACATTTGACGTTTAAACTTTTAACAAATTTATTTAAAAAATAAATTTATGGAATCAATTTCAATAGTCATGGACAAAGTATAGTATTCTACTCACATATAATAATATACTATTTAATTGTTTTAACGAATTTATCCGTTACGTTTGGGAAGCGCTATATATTGAGTATTGTTACTTTGTTGAACAACATTCATTAAAAAAAACATTAATATCCCCCAGCAATGATTTATTAATATAGAAAATATATTTGTAAGAAATCTTTAACAATTTTATAATACATCTACGTTAGTGTGTTCTGTTTATATTCGGCTCTAACTAAATACAAAAATTATAGTACGTGTATACAAATAATGTGAATATTGTAAAATAAAAATGTTAAACATCATCGTAAAAAAAGAACAGAAATGGTGCAAATGCCACCAAATAAAGACAAAAATACTTTTGGTGAAAAAACTTAACCTAAAACTTACATACTAAACTAAAGAAAACTAAAAATATATTTTTTTTACTAAAAATGATAAAAATTTATATAAATGTAGTTCCTTTTTAATCATTTTTAGCCAAACGTAAAACATGTAAAATAACTTCATCAACAGTTTGATTATTCAATAAACTCTTAATGGTATCATCATCAATAACAACAGTAAAAAGAAGCTTTGCGTTCTCTCTCATTCTCCCAATATAATCAAAATCTTCTTTAGAAGCCGGTTTATGTCCGCATCTTCTTATAACTGAATCCAACATTTTATCAACTGGCGTATCCGGCCATCCAAAATCTTTCAATGTACTTTCATCCACCAATAAACCCAACAATTCTTTAATCGAATCAGTTAAAGTTAATTCATCCCAAATAGTACTTTGTTGAACCGTCAAAGTAGTATTATTTCCAGATGCAACCACTTGGGCTACATTCAATAATTGTTCTTGTAAGCGTTTCTTTTCAGCGCCGGCCATTATATCTTCAAGAACATCACGATGTTTAGCTCTCATATGTCTTAAAAGACAATCTTGTCTTATAAAAGCACGTCCACACTCATCACAGCTACAAGGTGGTTCTTTGCGATGAGTCAACATATGTAATTTTAAAGAGGATTTAACAGCAAATTTTTTATTACAAACTTCACATTGAAATGGTTTAACACCAGTATGTAATAGAAGATGGCGTTGTAAATCTTCCCTTCGATAAAATGATTTAGTACAATGATCGCATTGCATTGGTTGAGCTCCTTCGTGTACAAATTGAATGTGAGTTGTTAATCGAACTCGACGATTAAAAGCGCGATTACAATGCGGACAAGTAAATGCATTTTCACCGGTATGATGAAAAATATGTGCACGTAATTGTGCGGCTTGAATAAAACTTTTACCACAAAAGTGACATGAATGGGGTTTATCTCCCGTATGAGTACGAATATGTCTATTTAATGTTTCTTTAGCTGCAAAGCGTTTTTGACACCTCGAACATTCATACGGTTTTTCACCAGTGTGCATTCTTCGATGTTTTTTCATAGCGCCACTAGATGGAAATCGTTTTGGGCATAAATCACATGCATAAGGACGTTCTCCGGTGTGAGTTCTTAAATGAACTGATAATAACCCGCTCCCTTGAAACACTTTTTCGCAATACATACAAACAAAAACTTTCTTTTTTTTGGTTTGTCCAGCGTGAGCTCTTAAATGATCTCTTAAGTTATCTTTCCGAGCGAATTCTTTGTAACATACATTACATTGGAAATTATTTTTTGGACCACCATCACATCCAGTTTGGGCAATATGACGATCAAGGTGGTATTTTCTTGTGAAATCTTTATTACAAGCCTTACAAGAAAATGGTTTAGATAAGGGATGTACAGCTAAGTGATCAATTAATTCTTGTTTGCTGTTACATTGTAATTTACATTCACTGCAATTATATAAATCACCTTTGTTGTGATCAATACACATATGTCTACTTAAATTTTCTTCAAATACAAAACGTTTGTCGCAATTTGGACATGTTATATCACCAGTCATGTGAGCTGAATCAACAGGTTCTCCACAACAATAACATAATTCAAAGGCCAATGGATCATCACTAGGCCTATCTTCACTATGAGTCACAGTTACATGCCTTTTAAGACTCTATATTGGAAAAAAATAATTAGTAACTTCTAGTTCACTCAAATTTGATATTTACCATTGTAAAGAAATGTTTGGGATTCATTTAAAACTTAAACAATGGTAAACATCATAAAAATATTAATTTAACTAACCGTTGCAGTTTTAAAACACCTATCACAAAATTCACAAGCATGATACTCATCCATTTCCTTTTCTTTATTATCATATGGATACTCATAATCAGGATCATCTGCGTCCTCTTCCATTTCCTCAACCTCATTTTGATCCTCATCTTCTTGCTCCACCTCTTGTTCTTCAAGTGTATAATCGATGTTTTGACTTTCATCATATTCTTCAGCTTCGATTTCTAAAGCAATTTCTCTTGGTTCATCGTCGATTGAATCGCTAGTTTGTTCGATTGTGCTTATTTTAAAATGACCATCCGTATCGGTGGTGACCTCAATCGCAGAAATAATATCGGGAACGTCCGAAAGTAAAGGAACGACGGTAAGTTCTTCATTAGTTTCAAACACGATGGATTCTTCTTCCGCTTTGATAAATGTTTGTTGATCATCCATGATCTATATGATATTGAATAATAAATAAGAATATTGGGTGTAACCCAGATGTGAACATTTCGCGTTAAAATTTCGGTTGAATTGATGGTAATTTAAATGATTTTTAGGTGTGCTAGGGTACGGTTTTGATTAACGGGGGTTGACGGGAATAATATGCAACAAAAATACACCAAAAATACATAATATTAAATCGATACTTACGCCCCTAAAGTATCGTCAACCGCTCTCTCATGTGAATAAACAAGATGGAGGATGGACTAAATATCAGGCGGTGTTGACACAGCTCACTATTGTTTCGACACTAATTTGATTAATACATCTATAGATTTATGTTACTTATCTGAGATTAAAAGAAAATATAAACAAATCAAAGCAATAATGTTTCGATAATTAATAAACGCGTAACAGAAAACGGGTTAAAACTTTGTATACAATTTGTTGTGTACCCAACATACACGCATGTAATGGAGGTTAATGGAGTTCGGAAACGTTCGGTTAACTTCGGATCATTATTTATTTAAAGAAATAATTATCAAATTTATGTTTAAACCTATAAATAATATCAACTATAAATCGCTAGTAATTTTTGTTGTAAAACATTAAAAGAAACAATCATCATTTTCAATTTAAAAAAGATATTTTGATTTGTACTTATTTTTTCTGATTCGAAATAGTTGCCTGTACTGGAAATATTTAAGCGGGCTATTCAAAGTTTATTAATTAAACTTCTAAATTGAAAAGTTTTCTGGCTTATTTTGATATATTTCACATAAAATAGTATCGATTTATTAAATTTTAATTTAACACCTATGTAATTTTAAAAAAATCGATTTTTTTGATTAAATAAATTCTATACAATTTTAGGAATATTTTAAGCATTCAACCATGGGGTCATACCATTGAGGTCTTATATATAATCTAGAGAGCGTATGTGGTGGTGGTGGGGGTAATCAGAAAGTCAGACATGTTGGATGTACCGACCTGAACTTAGCTATAGGTTCAAGTCTCTATTGTACCTACAATTATAACCTCACAATTCTCATAAATTTTATTTTTATTGAAAGTTTTCGAATTTTTTTAGTTTCACATATGTTTTTTATAATTTGGTAGGTTGGACGATTATTTACAACAGTCCATAAAATGTTTCTGGTTACTTGACTTGGAATTAACAATTAAAGACCTCGGTGTAAGAAGGGGACAACTCCTTGTCTTGATAAATGGAGCTACTCCCTTTTTGCACCGAGGTCTTCATAATGAAGTAAAGTTTATTATTAAGGACTGTTCAGTTTTTTTTAAATAAACTAACAATTATTTATAAGCAAAGGTTAACGCGATCAATCAGAATTGCTTTAAATATTTTCTTCTTAGTTTATGTTAATTATAAGGGTTATGCTAAAAATTATTAAGTTCTTTTAAAATATCATATAATTAATAATTATTTATCAATAAAAAATTAATGTTTTGTTTTGGTTATTATTTTCTGTCTTTCCAGTTTATAATAATATAAATTCTTGCAGAAGTATATATCAGACTTTCGAATTTCCCGCTAAGTTGGTACATCTAACATGGCGACCTTTCTGGCTTCATTTTAGGCGTGGTGGGGACAACAGCATAGGCACTCTAGATTATATATAAGACCTCAATGGGTCATACACACTTATTAAATTTAGAGAAAATTTTTATGTCAAACGATATATGCAAGTATATGCATGAACACAAAGTAAGAGAAATATTTTGATCAATTTTATATTTTGCGTAATTTGAAGTGAAAAATAGCAAATATTCAAACGAAATAATTTCGCGGCTTTTCTGTGACGTAGGAACCGCACTGCCTAAAACAAGTTAAATTGTCCGTTAGATAGCGCTTGCGGTGTGACAGTGTCAAAATAAAACCATGGATGTAATAGAGTGTCTCTATTACATCCATGAACAAAACATAATAAACATAACCTACAAACACTCTATCTCTTTTCAATACAACCTAAATGACGTTCATCTCTTTCTCGCATTTGGGCGGGGAGCAGGGGACGCAAAAGTGAGAATCGTACGTCATCAACGCGGGAATTTTAAAAGCGCAAATGGGTATATAAATTTTCAATAATTTTTCTAACAATGACTTTGTTCGAAAATATTAAAAAAAAAAATAACGGTAACTATATTTTTATATAAACTTTCAGAAAATATAATAAAAAAAAATCGTGTATGACCCCATTACAAAATTCAAAGTATTACCGAAGTTATAAAAGTATAATGTACGATATGGTAATTACGTGGACTATGGAATAAAGCAATTGTTGACTCTTAAGGTAAGTTTCCACATCCAGTCAGTCAGCTGGCACCAGTTTAGTTCAATGTGGAAATTGCAAAATTCCATTGGCGCCAATAAACTGACGCCAGTAATCATAGCGCCAATAAAGTTGACCGAACGTCTACTTTTTGGCGCCAATAGTAATATTGGTAAAAAAAACGAGCAACTGTATAAACGTGTTCGTCCACTAAAATTGCGAAAATCTGGTAATAAACACTCCAAGAAATGGAGATCACAACAAATACTACAGTTTTTGGAAACATATGAAGGATACCTACTCGTGTTTGTGGAATCATAAACTCCAGAACATAAGGACCGAACTGCAAGAAATGAAGCCTTAAGGATAGTTGAGATTATGTCGAAAACAGTTCATAATTTTGACGAAAACTTGGCGAAGGGAAAAATACGAAATATATGTAATGCGTATACAAGTAAATATAACAAGGCTTTAAATTCGTGCAGAAGTGGAGCATCAGCTGACGATGTGTATAATTATGACATAATAGTGAGTATAATTATGTATATTCATGATTCATGAGTATGACATAGTTCTCTAATTAAAGTACTTGATGCACCTAAGTAATTTCTACGTGCAATCCACGATCGAACCCAGCAGCTTTGTTTTTGTTCTTTTTTTGTTAATAGCAGTGGAGTTCCAATGAGCATTTTTAGCCAATACACAATTAGGTATCACATTTATGTGGAAATAACTTCTGGCGTCAGCTAATTGACGCCACTAAATTGGCTTCTTACTGGCGCCAGTAATCGATGCATGTGGAAACGTAGCTTAATCCATATAAAAACTTAGTTGTTACAAAGGGAAATGCATTAGCCACGTGCAAAAGCGAATGGGCGCGCAAAGCAAAAAGTGATAATCCTGGTATAGGTGGCAGAGGGAAGTTGACAGCCAAAGTTATTGGTGACCTAACTGTTTATTACGGACTTGCAATTAGAAGAAGTATAACATATTACCATAAAATATCTGCTGATGAAAAGCCACAGCACGACAAGTGTCCATTCGGTGAAGTTACTTGGTGTTCATACTAGAAAACGAATGCCTCTGGAACTTTGGAGTCTTATAAATACAAAAATTCAATTCCTGTAGATGTTCAAGTATATACTCAAAATAACAACGAAAGCTTGAACGCTGTCATTTGGTCTATGACTTCAAAAGTATATTACAGTGGCGCAAAAATAGTTGAGACAGCATCTTATATTACAGCTAGTACATTTAACGATGGATATACCAGACTATCACAGATGATGCAATTATTAAACCTAGTAACAGGTCCAAGCGCACTGCAATTGTCGGAAAATTTGGATTCTCGACGAATATCCCCAGCTAACATTAGAGCTCAACAGGAGACAAAAGAGGCCTAAAGGCATAAATTGAATACCGTACAGTTTTGCTGTTAACTTAGAAAATATATTATATTCAACAATAGATTTTTTATTTTATTTTATATGTTGCTATTTTCCATTTCATGTTTGTTATATAAATTGATAATAACCAACAATAATATAAACTCTTAGATATAATCTGATATAATACACTTTGCCTGTCTGTGTCCAGGAAGTTCTTTCAAGCGCAAGGCTACGTTTGAGACATCCCATGTATTAATTATCTGTTTTAAGTGGCTTTTTTGTAGTCCACAGGCAGATTAGGGTTCAATAAATCTGCCTCTTTGGCCAGTTTGCCCGCAATGTCTTTGTGACATAGAATCCACCATAATGTGACTTCATTGATGTGATCATTTATTTTTATGAAAGTTACTATGTTGGAATCCTTGTAGACAAGGCACAGTTCGAAATTATAGCGTCCAGGTTCTTATAGCGTATGGTTCTTTCTATTATCAACCTCATTATCCGTCAAATTGGGGTGGATAACATCACTTATTTCGCTCCGCTCCGATCCAAGCTTAATTCTAACTTAGTAACTGCAAATTATTTGGTGTTAAATTACATGCTTGTTCAAAACAACACATAGCTTGTATTAAAAAGAATTCTCATTTATAAAATACTAACAATATTCTTATACACTCAAATAAAAATGATCTCTAATTTTTAAAGGGAAATAAATAGTAACAAAATCATAATCTAAACATTTATTTAATTTTACGTTAAGTATTAAGTTGACATTTCTTTCAAAAAAACAAAATTAAATCAAAATTTTTTTACATTTGAGAAAATTGTTCATAAGCCATTTTTAATAAAAACTGAAAGCTTTTCTGTTTTTGTAACAACTGCAAACCATCGTCTTCACAAAGAACATCGATTGGAGGAAGAACCGAATTTAAATCGGAACCTAACATTGTTGTAAAATCACCTAATTTAAAAAATAATTTATTTTGTAAAATTTCTAATGGTGATTCCAAACTCTTTTCATTCCATGAATCTCTTAAAATAGCTCGCTTCCAAATTTCCAATTTGCATTCTTCGAATACTTCTTGATCAACATATGGTAATATATCCAGAGCTTTTTTAAATTCTAATTCAGTCGCATCATTATATTCAGGACAAGTATACAAATGAATTAATTTAATCGGCGAAATAACGCATGGTTTTAACGTGTCGTAACCAAATTGTTGCAAAACATAATCTGGAATACCTTCTTGTAATTCAATTAGTTCAAGAGCACTATTTATATTCATAACAGAATCTTCAAAATCATTTGTAGAAGCTAATTTTGATAATTTACTCAGCGATAACATTGTTTTTTGTCTCAACAATGATTCATTTTCTTGCATTGCTAAATGTTGCAAAACATCTCCTGCTTTTGAAAAATCCTCATTGTTTATTAATTGTATCCATGATAAAGATGGATGATCAGTAAGAAAATTTGAAAGTACTTTAGAATGTTTACCATCTCTTAATGATTTACATTTATTTATCAATTCAGCTTGTTTATTTTCTTGGACGTACCAAGTTAAAAGAAATTGAGGGAATCCTTCATCAGTAAATCTATCAATGTAATCATCTAATCTTCGCTCATTTTTAGTTCGCTCACAAATTGTTACCATTGTTTCAAAATCTAAGTATTTTTCTGCTAATAAAGCAGCTCTATCCCATTGCCTTTCAACAACTAAAAATTTTAAACGAAATTAATTTTTGCAAAATCTTTTAAATCTTTTAAACAAACCAAATGGATATATAAGAGCATGACGATCTTTTTCATAGTGTTTTAATAATATTTGTTCTTTCTCTGTACCCTTTACACTTTGTAAATGATTTTTACGACCATCTAGTATTATATCAATTAAATAAACGAGTTGATCGTACATTGTATTATGTAAAGAACTTGCTGACGTATTTTTTATACCATAATTATAAGTTAACGATTGCTAAAAAGAAATTTTGGTCTAATTATTGATTTTGAAATAATAAAAATTTACCTGAGTTATTAAAGCATCATATAAACCTTCAGGTCCACTGGCTACAGTCCAAGGTATATATTCAGGATTTTCTCTTAAAATTTCATCGTTGGGAGTAAATTGTAAAGCGTTTGATTGTCGTTGAAATAAAACTTGATCTAAAACGGTCTAAAAAACAATTATAGAAACATATTTTTTACTTTTTACTTACCAAAATAATTTCATTCGATTTAACAATAATATTTCCAATTTCAGTTGGATTCATAACCGAATTTACAATATCTTCGCAATAAAAAACAATTTCTTGTAACCCTTTATAAACCTTAGTGACATCTTTATAAAAAATATCTTGAGCGGTGAGTCCGTTTTCCGCATCGATTTCGATGTTTCTAACGGCTCTTTCAACGGCTTTTTCTAAAATCTCGTTTGTTGGATAACTTTTTAAGATAAAAGCTGTTATTACTTTTTCTAAATATTCTCCTACAAAAGCAAAATAAATTTATTTTTGGTGTTAAAACCACCATGATATTATCCTAACCCAAAACATAAGTAGTACAGATATTTGATTCTCTTTCAACAACATAAGATAATCGATTCCAAATATCCATTTCTCTTAGAAACTTATAATACAATGTTAACGCTTTTTGTTTATCTTCTAATTGTATAATAATTTGCATTGAATAAGAACTTCCCAACCCAGATGCAACATTTTCATTATGCCAGCGCGGATCGCCTGTTGGACAATCATTTAACATTGCTATACAAACCTCAACAATTTGTTGATCCATTGTATAATTATTTGATGACATTCTATCATAATTAAAAATTTCATCGAGAATTTCTTTTGCGGCCATCTATTTTATAAATATATATTTATTTATTATTAAATCATCTTTAATAACGTTTTTTGTTTACCTGTTGATTTTGGACATGATAAATAAAAGCGGTTTTTAATTGTCCTGTAATATCCTTAAATGTTTGTAACATTTCAGTTGGATCAATATTGAACAAAGTTAAATTCCCAGCTGTATTAGAATCGTTTTGAGCAGTTTCGTTTAATGCCGAATAAGATTGTGTAGTTATATTTAAATTTGTTGTGTCTCTATCATTACTGCAGATTGAAACGAGACCATGATTTCTCGTAAAAAATATGGGGACGTTTACACAAATATTACCACCTAAATAACAAATAAATAATTTATTTATTATAATAAAGAATCTTATATTTAAATTTCCGTCAACAACGAAGACAATTTTGGGGTTCATAAATAAAATCTGAAGATATTCTAAAAATCGAATTTGATAAAACGGATCATAATACATCATATGAGTACTTGGGCAGTATAATATAACAAGATGGACCAATAGATTTAGACATAAATGTAACAATAAAGATAAAAAGATAAAATTGAAAGTGTACAACTCGGTGGCAGTCCCAATATTAACATATACCAGGACACTCCAAGATAAACAACAAGGAAAGATTACAGCAATGGAAATGAAATTTTTATGGAAAATAATGTTGAAGACAAAGTGGGTTAGGATAAGGAATGAGGAAATAAGACTGGGAGTAGATCAAGAGGAGATAATCAGCAAAATAGAGAGAAAGCAACTAAACTGGTACGCCCACGTAATTAGAATAGAATATAACACAATAGTAAAAAAGTCTAGAAAGATGTAGGAGGAAAAAATAGCAGAAGATGACGTTGAAGTTGAGAGAGGGAAGAGTTTAGCAGACATAAAGAAATTAGCCAGGAACCGGAGGGAGTGGAAGAAGTGGATGGAGCAATAAGGATCAGGAGAAGAAGAAAATATTTAAATTTATTAACTTACATAACAAATAATCATGTGGTGATGAAAATTCTAAAACATCCAATTCATCCATGGAGTTAACAACAAGAACGTGTCTTTTATTATAAATATATATACTCGAATCGATTAAAATTAATCGATACAATAAATGATCAGTTGGATTAGATTCACGATAAGTTCCCGTCATCTTTAAAATGGAAACTTTTGAGACATCTCCTGGGGGAGTTTGGGCGTATAAATCAATGTAAATTAAAGCATAATGCACTTGTGGTGAAATATTTGTTTGAGCTCCTGCTACTAAAAGTACAACATACTTCTTATTTGCCTGAATATCAATGATTGATATTTCAGCATTTGATTGATTTTTATTGTAATTATCGAGTAAATTTCCGAAACATTCCCCTGTAATTAAAATATTCAAATCTAAAGCGAATAAGTATTGTTCAGGTTCATCCAAATTCAATTTCCACTTATGAAGGGTGTGTCCGGTTAAAACAAATACAAAACGCGATCTTTCGTTGATTTCAACTTTTAAAACTCTCACAGTTCTTGCTTCCGCTGTTTGTTCGGAAGATATTGGGCCAAAAATCAATGAAGACATCCTCTTTCCAATACCACCTAACCACCCACTGGGCATTTTTAAAATTTTACAAATTAATTGGTGCCTTCCTGAGTTATTTTGTGGTTGAAGTATAACTGTAGTGCAAGTTGTTGTAACTAAAACGCAACCAAAACCATTCGTTTCAATTAAGCTGTCGCACTCTTGCCCTTGGAGGTCAACACATTCTTCAATAGAAACCCCTTCGTGTGCTATCGAAGGCCAATATCTCACAACACCTTCTGGAGATGAAGCGATACACGATGCTACATTTGAATTTGGTGCGATAAAAACCGAAACTAATTCGGCTTTATGAGCCAAATCGCTTTGGGGTAGCTTTAATTCAATACACTGATTTGTTGCAGTTTTACGTTGAGGTGTTCCATGGTGTACAGCTTGGCGATATTGCCAAATTAAAACTCGTCGACCACAAACTAACCAAACATAACCATTGTCGGATAAATTTGCGGAAACTGGTGTAGTTCCTAAATATAAATACATTTTGTATTAAAAGTAACATTTTTATTTGACAAAAACTTACTTTCGGAAAATGTTAAAGCTTCTGTTATTAAAACCGGTAAAGATTGCCCATAACTTTCAACAAAATAATTTTGAGACCTTAATAAAATTTGATTAATAGACTGAGATTTTCCGGAAACACTGAGACGCCTAAATCAACAGATAGTTACAATTATTTATTTTAATATCTAAAGGGGCGAGATAAACAATCGTATCTCCATAATACACACTTTTTAGAAATGAGCAAAACAACGTTTATTGTATAAAATTTGATAAATCATCTTGCAGTAAAAGAAGTTGTAATTACAATATTCAAGACAAAACAAGATGGCACAAATAAAGCAAGATTAGTGGCCAGAGAATTTCTACTAAAAGAAGAAGATATTTATAAATCTATATATACCCCTGTGGCAAAAACAAGTACGATAAGAGTAATGTTAGGTCATGCAATAAGAAAAGGACGGAATATTAGATAATTGGATATACCCACAGCTTTTCTGAACCGGAATACTGGAAAGTGAGGTTTATATACACAGCATGTCTAGCTGAGGGAATCTCTAAATGCATGGAATCTGATAGAAAAAGTATCAGTGGCGAACTCTTATTTTATGGAAATAATTTAGTGCATTGGTTTTCAAGAAAAGAAATGTGTAGCTTTATCAACTGCAGAATCCGAATTCATGGCTGCTGCTGTAACAGCACAAGAAATAATTAATTTAAAAGGAATATTAGAGGATTTTGATATAAAAACAAATATAATTATGTACTGCGACAATAAAAGCACAATTTTTATTTATTTATTTTTACTCGCTACGCTCGTGACATAAACTTAACCTTGTGAATAATAGCCCTCATTATATGCTCATATAATAATATACTATTTTTAAATAAATTTTTGAATAAAGTTTAAACGTCAATGTGACACAAATTCAATGTCACCAACTGTAACCAACTTCACAACAATTTGTCAAAATTAAATGTCAATTTTATGAAACGTCAAGGTTTTTTTGACGAAAATTAATTTATTTATTATTTTTTTAATGTCAAACCTTTAGAAAGTCCTAAAAAATTAAATTAAATTGATGTTTTTTGAAATTGTGAAAGTTCAATATCTTCGTAACACATTAAGCGTGATGAGTGTACCAAGTGTATTAATTGGTAGCAAATTGAACTCAATTGAGGGATTTCAAAGGGTTGATTAAGGGTGATGGTACCCCAAATTTTGACAGATTTTTTTAATCTTTTAGCGGATTTAATAAACATTATTACCTGATTTCATGTGGAATTTAATTCTAAGACTTTTCTTACTCTTATTATTTTTTACAAAACTTTGTCGTTTTCACAAAAAACTTAAATAACTAAAGACACGTCTTTCGCAATGTTACTTAAAATAAGCGAAAATTCAGTAGTCGGCTATGAAATTAATAAATTATACGTCAAACTTGACAAGTATTTTATTAATTAGATTTTATAACCTATTATAAATACTACAATAATAATTTATTGTCCTCTACATGTCCCTGCTCTGTGTCAGTTCTTATGTGAATCACCCTGTATTATAAGGTAGTGGTGGACAAAAATATGAATGTGGTTACAATTGTTACTTATGTACAATGTAATAAACACATGTAATAAAATAAAAAATAACATAAAAGGTTCTTCCTCTTGTTCAAGCTTTAACAAGCTCGCTGAGCATAAATAATTACAACAACTTTTCATAAATACAATAACAAGTAATCAAGAAACATAGAGTTACGATTTTTTGTCAAAATACCAATATTAGTGATTTACTCAATATTAGATACAATTAAAGATACGACTGTTTACCTCTCTGCTATAGATATATTTTTAAAGTAATCTTACGATGATTTCCTAAACCCAGATCTTCTTGAATCAATCGGCCGTGTTTTCGGTGAAAATGGACTTCTAGAACTTAAAAACGACGCCCCAAAACTTCTCTCCATGGTTTATTTGATGTTTTCATATGAATTCGCACAATATTATTATTTAAAAATATTAAAACAGAAAACACGTTAGATTAAAATATTTTGAGGTTATGTTTTTTTATTGACACCGTTAAAACTACATTTAAAATTTAACTGTTAACGTCAACTCTAGATGTCTCTTTTTCCAATTTTTTTCCCGGTCATAATATTATTGGAAATAACACAACACACAAGAAATTTTTTTTATTTCGTTGCCAATTTTACGTGTTGTCGCTATGAAAATAGCTTGTGAAGTCCGTGTGGTAAATAGGGCGCTGCCCGAATTGGCGATAAAATCGAGATCGAAACATGTAAAATCAACCCTTGCTATTTGCAAAGTACCGAAAGGAACCAAATTTTGTATTATTCTCTTTACATCTCAAGATAAAAACGGAACGAAATATGATGTTAACGGCAATATACAAGCGGTGCTCACTAAATTTGTATCGGAAGGAAAAGTAACGATACAATTTAAAAGTCCAGGTCATGATCTTCAAATACAAGCGAATAGTGTCCAATTAAAAAGCTTTTTGCATACTTTAAGATGTGCAATTGAAAATAAACATATTGATAAAATGTCGTTTGAAACTGTTAGTGTTGTTCCAATTGGGAAGAAGAATATTCCGATGAAGCAGATGGTTATTACAAGTCGAGGGCAGTACCCCATTCGAGGTTTTCCACGTACTTTGGAGTGTTTGGAAATAAGAAACATTAATAGGTGTGGGTTTGATTTAGGTATTTTGAAGTTAAATATGTTGAAAGTTTTAGATTTAAGTTATAATAATATAGAATACATTCCTCCAGAATTTAACACTTTACCTAATGTAGTTCAAATAAATTTATCTAATAACAATTTTGGAAATCGTGGTCCTAAAGATTGGAATTGGCTTGGTGGTTGTTTATCGAATACTCTGCAATCACTAATTTTAAGTAATAATAATTTAAATTTTTTATCAGATAATATTATTAAATTGTATAAATTACAAAGTTTAGATGTAAGTAAAAATAATTTAAAATTTCTCCCATCTGGTATCGGGAATTTAAACCTAAAATGTTTTATGGCTTCAAAAAATAAATTAAGTGTTTTACCTGGTTGTGTGAGGCGCTGGCGTTTAAATTTTATTGATTTAAGTGATAATGATTTTCAATCAGATAATCGTATAATTAATATACCTAAACCCTTGTCACCTGTTTGTAGTTTAAAAGAGTATGCTGCAAAAAGAGTTTTATCTTTAAGATTATATTATACCCCAGAAACTTTGGTCAGTACACTAATTCGTTATTTATCATCAGCTAAATATTGTCCTTGTGGAAAACCTTGTTTAGAAAACTATATGCGCAGTAATGGTATTATTCATTTACATAAAATCGCTAGTAGTCATATTATATCATCAGGCGAACGTAATGTTATCCCTATAGATTGTTATTATTGCTCTGTAAAATGTGCTACTATAAGAATAGCTATTACTAGATAGGATGCGGTTGATTTTAGTTAAATAATTATGTTAATTTCTGATTAAACAGTTATGTTAATATGTAATATAGAAGATTGATTATAAAATGTATTATTTTGTAAGATAGACCATCATTCAAGTAATTTTAATGTAAGTAGGGTAAACCATACATTTATTGGACAGTTAAGGGATTTTTTAAATGATTCATTCTTAAAAAATAGTGATGATTTTGCATGAATAGTTACTTATCTGATTTCTTAGATAATACTGAAAGCACCAATAACATTTTTAATTATTTATTGCAAAAAAGTACAGTCATTGGACACTTATAATAGTCATTGGACGGTAATGTTACAGTTATTGGACATATGTTAATTGTAATACATTACTGTTGAAACTTGATTATACACACAACGCGCTTATTTAGGATATATTTTCTTTTTTCATCTTCATCCAATCCTCCAAGTTGTATTTTGTCGCCTTCCTGTTGTTTCACATCGGGTCGGTTAATTGATTTGACTAAACTCGCTGCGGTGTCCTCATCGCTAAACGAAAGTTGATCATTTACATTTGAGTAACATTTGCAATTATATGCTCCTTTGAACCTTGATAGTGATCAGAATTTGATTCAATTGGAATATTATCATTTGCTTGTTCAAGGATCATATTTTCTTTATTCCAGTCGCCATCAACACTATACCTATGTCATATCCTGACCATGCATAACATTTGCATCCTTATGAAAAAATCGCCAAAATTTGTACAAATGAAAAACTGTGCCTGAACATTTTGTATAATCCAGTGCATTGGAGTCAAAGGCATATAAACCCCATGCTTTAAATCCATTTATGAATGTTTGCGGATGTATAACCCCAATTGCAGCTTCCAAAATTGGTGCAAATGTAATTGTATGTCATACCACTTTTGGACTTCTTTCCTCCATGCAACTTTAAGAGGCCTAAATACTGCCACATCTGCTGGTTGGGTTATTCTAGTTGCATTTGAATACAGAGCTACAAGTTCTATTTGCAGTTTGTTACAGGTCCTAATAGTAATATCAGGATGACGTTTTAAAAATACTTTGAATCAACCGATTCCTGGTTTGTTATTTGCAAAGGAATTTCTCCTTGGGTTTTCTTCCAGAAAGTTCTGAACGCTCATTAATACATATATTCTCTTTATTCCTAGGAAACCTCTATTAGTCATCCCCTATATTCAATATACTAAACTAGTTTCCTCGTTTACAGTTAAAACGGTGCAAGGCCCAAAACTCTCTTTATGCCCTGGATGTTTGATTTTAAAATCAAGTATTGATTTGGGCACATTATATTTGTTGGCAATATCTCTTAAAGAAGATTTACCTTTCTGCATTTCTTGAATCGCCATCAACTTGTGTCTGGGATCATATGATCACCTTTTTACAATTTTTGGTAACCTTTAAGGAATAATAAGGCACATAAACAAAAGTAGAAATGTTAAATGTAGGTATTGGACATTGGAACACTTTACCCTTTTAGATTAGAAACGCAAAACTAATTACGTTGCACCATTCTATAAATCATAAACTACATTTTAAAGTTGAATAATAATCATAACTTTATAACTTAATGTTTCACAATCAACCTCACAAAAAAACTCAAACTTTATCAAAACCTTTAGCAAAATGACTTGCATTAGCACCGACGATGTTCAGCTTAACTTAACACGTCAATTTTACGTCACCAACAATCGACCATGATACATAAATCTAGGCAAAGTTCTTGTTTTTAAAAAATAAATCTGGGCTGTCCAATAACTGTATGATTTACCCTACATATTATCCTCATATTTCTAGTTAAACGACAAATTTTTATTTATTTTCTAATATTAAAAAAAAAAAGTTAAAATATTTAATATTGTAACTTTTGCTATGTAAATAACACGTGACTTTTTCATAATTAGAAGTGAAAAACCATTTGTGTCTTAACTCTTTTTGAAATGTTCAAAATATATTAATGTTAAAAAAATTAAAACACCTTTTGAAACATATTCTTTTATTTTTATTCATTTAACCAATCATTTAAATAAGTACAAGCTTTTGGATTAATCAAACCAGTTTCTGCACACCGATCAATAATAGGACAAATCCCACAGGAAGCTTTAACAATTCCTGGCATTTTAAGAAAACTATTAACAGCGCGATACAAATATAATCCTTTTGGATTCAAAATTCGTTCCGCTTTATTATCCAAAACTAAGGTGTATAAAATGCTTTCCAAATCTTCAACGGTAAGCTGCACTTTGCTTATACCAAGTTCAGAAATAAATTTGTGAACATCATTCATGGACACGTAACTTCTATTTCGAACTAGTAAAGGACCTCCGCCTTGTTTTAAAGCTTCTTCAAGTCGTTCAGATAAAAATCTATGACACTGTTGGTTGAGAACATCGACAAATTCTGATTCAAAATCTTGATCTTGATACCAAGCACCTCCTGTTACTGAGTTATCAGGTTCAAGATCATATAACATGTATACTTTTTTCTTTCCAGCCTAAAAAAAATCAATTTCATCAAATTTGACTTAAAATTAACATCTTATCAGAAAAAATAACTTACGCTAACTGATTTAACAGCTTTAATAATCTTTTTTGTTTCCAAGCTTTTTAAAACTTTATTTAATTGCGTCATATTTAAATTGGATTTGAATCGAATATCTCGAATCCAAATCCCAATACATCCCGCTTCTTCGATGATTTTATAAACTACTTTTTCCTCATTATCAGCTCCTTTATTAACAGTTTTCTTTGAGGGATCTTTGTATTTATAAAACAGTTGGTTTTTATCTTGAAACAACTCCAACGTCCCATTCTTAAGTAATTTATTCACCGCTTTCGCCCAAATCTGAGCCTCAACGTCTGGAATATGCTTTCCAATATCACTGTTTGTTATTCCATCAGGTTTTGATTTAGCTAAATCGGTTATTTTAGTTTCAAGGGATTGATTCGTTGAGGATTCCCCAACTTCCATGGTTTTTTTATTTTAACTTTTATTAATGTGTTGATTAGAAATAACTTATAGGTTATGTCAACATAACCTCAACTGTCAATATGACTGATATTAATTTAGATTGGAATAAAATTGTTCAAGATAATAAAAAGGTTTTATGAAATTTAAATTGTTTAAAGCTTTAATTCATTGTGTTTTTTTAAAGGCTGGGTTTAGAGAGGGTCTTTCTGCGGGGAAAGATAAAAATTTTCAGGAATATTTTGATGCAGGTTATAAGGATGGATTTAAGAATGGATTTTTAATGGGACGATTTAAAGGAGCTTTAAAGTACGTGAGACTCCCTTTATTAATCCCTTTATTCCAATGAAGTAAAACTGAATTTTTCGATTTTAGAGTAAGAACTTTAATGAAAAAAGAAATTGTTGAAGAAGAATCATTGAAAAATACCCGGAAAGCGTTATGTGTTATGTGTAAGGATAAATCATTGTTAGAAGGATGTATAGAAGAAATAACAAGTAATCAAAATCGCCAATCTGATGAATTTATTAAGTGTTTACAAAAGAAATATAACTTAAATGTTGACTATTAATAAATTTCTTTTTAAATCCAACAAAACGTATACTCTTCTACTGTGTTATTTATTTTTAAGTTCGTTTGCATAACCACTTTCTAGTTTTTTAAACTACAGTGTGTTAATTAATTATCATATCCGACGTCATCATCGAAAGTATGCAACCAATATCACAGATTGGTATTGCAACGCAACGAAAGCTCCTAAAAACGATGGTGACAATTCATTAATTTTAAAAGCCGTTTAAAACATATTTTAATAAAAAAAAAATATTTTAAATATAAGAAAACGTCTAACTTTCTGTTCTTTTATTTAAAATAATTTTTAGTGTACACATAGATTGAAATTAATGTTGAAAGTAGTGGTTATTTTGATTTGTTTATTGACTTACCGCTTAAACAAACCGCTAGAAACAACGATAGTTCTAAAAAGAACTTTCGAAAAATATAAAGAAAATACGGAAACTCACAAAGCGTACGACAATCACATCAATAACGTACGATCAGCTGTCAACATACATATCGAGATATGCAGCCAATATTACACAGGTCACGTGGGTTACGATAATCAACGTTACAACAATTTTAAGCTCTCTTAAGCTACCACCTTGGATAAATGTAGCTGTTCTAAATCAGATTTAAAATAAAAGTATATCTATGTCAGAATTACATATTTTATTATTAATCAAATTGTTTAATTAAAAAAAAAAGAACCACACATATTATTTTATAAATAAAGACCTTCAGGAGTTCCTTCTTTTTTACGATACAAAACACTCTCCTTAGATTTCTTAAAATCTTCATTCATAACCTTCATTCTTCTTTCACGTAAAGCCATCAATCCAGCTTCAGTACAAATAGCTTTAATGTCGGCTCCTGACAAATCATCTTTAGCCATAATAAGTTCTTGAAGGTTTACATCCTCAGCTAAAGTCATTCTGGTTGTGTGAATGTTAAAGATGCGTTTTTTAGTTTTTTCATCAGGCAGGGGGAATTCAATTTTTCGATCAATTCGTCCCGGTCTAATAAGTGCTGGATCTAATGTTTCAATGCGATTTGTTGCCATAATAACTTTAACATCCCCACGTGAATCAAAACCATCCAGCTGGTTTAATAATTCCAACATAGTTCGTTGAATTTCTCTTTCACCGCCGGAATTCGAATCGTATCTTTTTGTTCCAACTGCATCAATTTCATCGATAAAGACTATTGATGGGGCATGCTCTTCAGCGACACGAAATAGTTCTCTTACTAATTTAGGCCCATCACCTAAATATTTTTGGATAAGTTCTGAACCAACAACACGTAAAAATGTTGCTGATGTTTGATTTGCAACTGCTTTTGCTAAAAGAGTTTTCCCAGTACCAGGAGGTCCATATAAAATAACTCCTTTTGGTGGTTTAATACCCATTTCTTCGTAATACTCCGGATGAGTTAAAGGTAGTTCAACTGATTCTTTTATTTCTTGAATTTGAGTGTCAAGACCTCCGATGTCGGCGTACGTTTCTTGAGGGGCTTTTTCAAGTTTCATAACTGTAACCATCGGATCAGTATCATCGCCTAAAACACCTACCACAGCATGGACTTTATGGTTTAATAGAACAGAACAACCAGGTTCAAGTTGATCTTTATCTACAAATGAAAGAATGCTAACATAATGTTCACTTCCGACGGATGTTGATACAATCGCGTGATTATCATCAATGATTTCTTCAAGGGTTCCAACAGACATTGGAGTCCCTAAAATAAAAAATAAAAAAATAGGTAAGCTGTCAAAATTTTATTTTATCTTTTTTAACAAACCTCTTAGGTCATCAACTTTAGATCTTTCTTCTTCATTCTTCTCTTCCTGTGGTTTTAATCTCTCCTGATTCCTGATAAATTCTTCTTCCATTAACAAATAATCTTTGATGCGTTCTAGTTTTAGAAGTTTCAATCTGCATCGTGTATGAGGGGTCACTGCAGGTAATTTTAAGGCTGTATCCGGACCTTTGGTTTTTCTTTTCTTCTTGCCAACCCTAGTGGGAATTGGGGGCTCATATTTTTTCTTTTTATCCTTCTCTTCTTTCTTATCATTGCCTCCCGGACCTGATTGGCTTTGTCCCTATGTTTTAATATCATTCATAAGTTATTATTTCGATAAATGCTGGTTTATTTGATTATAAAGTCGCGTTTCTTTTAATTGATTTTGATAACTTACCATCGTACAACGTTTAACAAGTTTATTTGACAACCTTAGGCGAAAAACAAATTTATCGAGTCATCCACGAAAAATGAAATGGATTTTAGAGTTATTTTTTGTTGTTATGTTGGTAGCGAAAATATCTATTTTTGAAGGTGAATTTAATATAACTATATTCTTTTAATTTTAATTATTTTAATATTATTAGTAATTTATTTTATAATGTAAATAATAATTTTGATATTAATTAATTACTCATTAAAAAAAATTACTATAAAATATCACTAATGTTCAAAATATTAATAACAGATGGCGTTATTAATGATAAACTTATTTTTAAATTATTTCTATCTCTTTAAAAATGTTAATTAAGTGTATTTTAAATTAATTTTGTAATAAATGAATAAATAAGTAACCTTGATTTTGCCTTAATGATTATTATTCTATTAAATTTTAAATCTAACCTCAATAACCATAAACCTCAAAAACATAAGTTATGACGCAAGATAACACTGTTTTAGTCCATTCTGCTGATTATTTTGTTAATATTCTATTTATCCAACATTTTCCATAAAGACAAAATGAGTAAATTATTTAAAGTGTTTGTTTATGGAACCCTAAAAAGTGGTCAACCTAATCATCATTGGTTTTCAAAGGATGGTGGTTATTATAAATTTCTTTTTAACGCAACAACACTAATTAAGTATCCTTTAATTATCGCTAGTCAATATAACATTCCATTTTTATTATACAGCCCAGGTAGGAAAACTAACTCCAACAAAACAGTTCATAATTATAAAAATACCTTTATTTATTTAGGACATGGTAAAAATGTAAAAGGTGAAGTTTATGAAGTTGATGAAACCGTTTTGGCCAATTTGGATATATTAGAAGATCACCCGAATTGGTATCAAAGACAACTTGAAGATGTTTATTATGATAATGATGAAAATAAAAAAGATAAAGTATGGGTATATTTCATTAAAAAATTTAAATCTGAATTACTTGAGAAAGATACATTTGAATGCTATGATAGCAAAGGAGCACATGGATTGAAATATGTTGAAAGGTATCAAAGAAGTGCAGGAGATAATTATAAAAACGAAATTCGTTAAATGTTATTGTTTTAGTGAAAATCTTACTGTGGAAGAATTTTTAAATGGACCTGTATAAATTTTGATTGAAATAAATAGAAATTTTATTGTTTATTTTGACTTTAAGACATAGATAATAAACATTCCTTTGTGGTTAGAATAGTTACCTAGCCTATATATTATAAATTAAAGATGTTTTGTAATAAATCAAACTCAGGGATAGATTTGATTGCAATGTATTGATCAAAACGTTGTCTTTAGCATGTAAACAGATTCTAAATTAATTATTGTAGGTAGAAATTCCTAAACCAGGAAAGCCATCTGAGGAAGTGTCCTATTTCTGTTGCCAGTAATTTCGAAATTATTTGAAAAGCTATTTTTTAAAAGATTAAAACCTTTAATTATCAATACTACTATGTGATTTCCAAAAAAATTCACCTGGGAGTCCTAATGGTTGATCAAAAACTAGCTCTGCAGGTGCACAACCTAAACTAGTCTTTTAAACAAGATCTGAGAGCAAGTAGAACGATTGGAAGATCATGTTTTCAACAATCTAAGCTTCCTGTAGCAATAAGTGCAGTTTTCAAAGTTCTGTGGAACAGTGGAACCTTTCCAAAATACCATTGCATTGCGGGTGGTATAAGGAAGAGTTAATTTGTATAGAACCAAACAATTTATTGAATTGCGAAAACAGTTCTAATTCAAATTGTAAACCTTGATTGGGAGTAATAGTGTGAGGAATACCAAAACGTGAAAAATAATAAAAGAGGTTTTGCAATAGTAGTAGATTTAATGTTCAAAAGAGGATATGTTTCTGTCCATCAACTATCTGTAATATTAAGTCAATATGCATATGTTCAAAATGGCCTCTTGAAATGTTGAACTGTTAGACAGGTGATTTGGATATTTGTTTATTTTAGAAGTTTGACATTTGACATAAGATTTTGTCCAGTGATAAATATCAGAATTCTTGGCCAGAACAATCTAGATTTTAGTTTTTTTGAAAAATAAGTAAGTGGTTGAGAAAAATTGTTAACAGTCTGTTCTAAAACTGCTCCAATAGAACAACTATAAGCATCTGAAGTTATCTTTAATTGAGCGTTTTTACCAGGATGGGCGAAAGCAATAACATTCGCTAAAGAAGTCTTAGCTTCAGAATAATTTTCACAATCATTTGGCTAAGAAATCAGTTCTTGCGAGCCGGATCTGTGCGGTTACGCTACAAAACATACTCTGAGTATGAAATATTCTGTTGGATTCATTAACAAAAGACATTATCATTACTCCTTGATATCCTTTTCCTTGGGTTATAGCTCTCTGTGGTTACGCATTACCTAAACCAACAACAACATTGAAGTAAGTTTTTATGTTTAAGGGATTCTCTGTAATGTTGCCAATATTCAATTTTTAATGATGATACTGATGATATGTAAATTCAATCCCACTGAGTTGTAAATTAACTTATTGACTGTTATCCTTCTTCTGATTGGCCTGCCCTAGTGAATATCTTCCACAATCCTTAACTTATAGTATTTCGCTGGGTATCAACCTATAATTTATAACTTGATATTATTAATATATCTAACATCTATGTTTCAGAACAGAATAAATAATAAAAGTCAGTTATTTTAATAGGTTTTTTTTATTATCAAACTCAACATGAAAATTTACAATTAATTAATCCAACCTCCAATTTGTATTAGAATCAATTTTTCATGGCAGTGAACATTTCTCATTTAAAATCTATCGATAATAATCCTAGAGTTTTGTATAAAAATTTATTATTACTAAATATAAATTTGATTTTCGATCGCTTTTTCTTAATTGATTCTACATTTATTTATTTCTTGTAAATAACATCGTAATTTTTCACATACAATTTGTTTTTGATTAAACATTTAAAGTTTTTCTAAAAACAGAAACATTTTTGTGCCCAAATAGTATAACTTGAAAACTATAATAATTTGTCGATTTTCAGGTATTGTACATAAATTTTACAAAGGAAGATCAATTTTTAAACGTTCGCACGCGATATAAGGAGCACTGATAATAAGAATATAAGGGAGCACTCAAAAAATGGCCGTTTATTTATACTTTACTAGTAAAATATTATGTTTATTTTCTTAAAAAATGAGTCACACACAACACACTATAAATATCACTATGAAATGTTATGTTGTACATTTAAGGGAAGTGATAGCCTGAATGAATCAGGTAGTAAAGAAATTTATTGCGATTTCAATCCGTTATCAGTCAAATTTTTAAAAAAATATTTTTTTTTCATTAACAATTTTAAAATTCATCACCATCGCTATGGATCTATGTATGTATGTATTATTATTAAGGTCAAATTTAAATAAGAATACTAAGTACCGTTTTTTCTATCATAAAATTAATTAATTTCTCAAAAATAAAACATACACAGACCAAAAATACACGTGATTATTTATTTCTCATAAAGAAAAATTTATTCACTTAACCAAACACATTCGAGAATTAATGAAACCTTGTACGAATTAACTACTAAACACATGAATAACATCCCTAAATTCAAAATCATATCAAAACAAGAAATTTAAATTTAAGGGATTAAAATAAAAGTGACAACCTACGAAAGCAAATATCTTGTCCTTGAGCAATATCCTGTTGAAGGCACAATTTTTATTTCTAAACTTTTTTAAATCTCTTTTAAATTTAAACCTGCAATGTTCTTTACTTGATCCGCCCTCGCTATACCTGAACATCCTCCTGTTCCTTTTCTCTTTGCCTCACAGCAACCGCGGTTTCAACCAGCAGATAAAGACACTTAAATTTATCCTTATCTTCACCTTCCGGCGGCGTTGGTGGTGGCGAAGATGGCAATAAAGGACTTACTGGATGCGCAGGAACAACTTGAACCTTCGGATTCGTTAGTGGATGAGGCAATTGAGGTAAATGTGCCAATTGAGGATGTGGGGCACTCCAATATTCAGCTGTTGAAACGATTTTCTCTTCTTGAGGTGCCCTGTGAAAAGTAATCCTACATTGTATTAACATCTTTTAATTAAAAAATTTGTAAAAAAATAGTTAAAATAAATAAATTCATTGATTTGGATGCTTACCCTCTATTCGCTGGATGCGGTTCTTTTGATAATCCATATCGAATAACTGTTTGCCACGGCGCAAATTTCTCCTCTTCACTCGGACTTGAACTTTCATATTCATTTGGACTATCACCTTCCGAACGATACAACAACGTCATCCCATCCTCATAATCATGTTCCAATCGAATCCTTTTCCCCCCAACGGGATTTTCACCATCCCAACTAGCATGAGCTTGATCGGGCCCCAATGGACCACCACCAGCCAATTTTTTACCTCGACGCGAAATCGTGTAGTGTAAAGGATCATGACCTTCGCGTCTAATCATCTCAGGTAATATTCTCCGCCGAGCATTTATGAACCAATTGCATACTTGCAAAACAGTTAAGTTTGCTTCTTGAGAGAGAGTGATTTTTTCTGCATCGCTTGGATATGCATTGTAACGATGTTCATAAAGCCAACGTTTGAGAATTTTTACAGAATGTTTAGGGAGGTTTCCCCGCCGTTTTCGGACAGGACCTACACCATGAGCTGCAATGTTTGCTAATTGGAGGGTTTGTTCGTGATCTTCTTGTTCCGAACCGGATTCATTTTCATCCGTACTACTTGTTGATTGGAATCGATCACGATCTAATAAAAAAACAAATTAAATTATATTTCTAACAATTAATGTAAAAAAAAAATATCAACAAGTTATTGTTGACTTAACTTCAAATTTAAATATTCTAATTTTGAGGTTAGAATCAATAAAAACGTAAATATAAACTTAAAGAGTGGGGTTATAAGAAAAAGTGGGGTACAAAAACTTTATTTTAATATTAAAGATGATTTATTTTGTAGTAATAAACAAATAAAAGCGCGGTAAACTTTAATAAAGTTATTTTAAAACACGAACTGACAGATGACATTTGACAGTTCTCTGATTATGGCTACCTCGTGGAGACGCTAACCAAGCCGAATTTAAAACCATTATAACTACAAAAACGTGACTAATCGAAATAGAAAGTATTTAAAATCGGCATTCATAATAAATCACACTAGGTTTTCGTCTATAAACTTGCTGTCATTATTATAACTTTCAAAAATCACTTACGAGGTTTAATCTTCATCATTGACAGTTTAAATGTCAACGCGAAAGATTTGGAATTTACGTAACCGCGCTCGCCGGAAATCTCTTTTCCCACCGAAAATTAATATCGCACCTTTATTGAATAATTCACCACTAAAAACATTAAGAGAAAAGTTATTTGTTTATATCGCGGGAACGACGTCCGGAATTTTTTCTCTTTCACTACTGCTAAAACTCTTCGTAAATCGTGGTCGAGACGCAATTTTAATGAAAGTCTCCGTTAATTACGTTGTCACCAGCTCCTAATCGAACACTACGTTTATAAATTAATTCAAGAAATTTGAGTCGAATCACGCGTGCTACCGAATATGACAGTTGATATGGCGGTCAAACAACTGACTTCGGCGGACCGACGCTTCTAACACCATCGATAATGTAGAACGCTGTTGTTTTATTATTTTTATATCTTTTTAATTAAATTTATAGAAATTTGAGACTAATTTATAAAACATTAAATTAAAAATGTAAGAGTGCGAATTAAAAGAAAACATTTTTAGTAATTAATAAAAATAATATGCAATATTAAAAATATTTGAATTGGCACTTCAAAAGAAATCCGATAGATGTCATCAACAAACATAAACAAATATACAATGTCATATTTTCCATAATTTTTGAATTTTTTTTAATATTTAATAAATTAAATTAATCAGTAATTTAAACAATAAAGCTATTTGAATGAATAATAAAAAACCATAAAAGGAGAAATAAATAAATAATAGTAAAAAATTTCACCTGTCAATTCACGACAAAAACATTATTTAATCGATTTTCTTTAAATAAAACGTAATTAACTATTAATGAAAATAATAATTACCTTGCAATTGATGAACATAATTGAATTCGCCGCTGGACATGCGCATTGATGAAATTGTAAGAAAAACGCTTGAGGAAACGAAATTACTATGGTGGACGCAGGCGCGTAACTCAACGGAAGTTAGTCACAAAACTTCAAAGAAATTATATGTGATTCTGGAAAAAATACATAATTACCCCTACCACTTCAAATATAGAGCGAATTAGGTGCGAAGTTGGATTAAGCAAATTAGGGAAAAATGTTAATGAAAATATAAATAAATTAGAAATCATACAAAATAAAAAAATGATCCAAATAAATTAATAATGTTAATATTAATGTTTATCCAGATATTTAAATATATCCTGAACAATTCCGGAGAAAAAGGGTACGTTCTAAAAATTAAAATGAATGCCCTCTTGGTTCCGTTCCTAAGTTACAGGTGCTAAATCCAGGAATATTTGCCAGTAGCGGTGGCAGCATCGTCACGTTCAGTTGGTAACTTGTCGTCGTCATCTTATAATTTGTTCTTTATCCGTTTTTCGTTCCTTGTGCTACCAGCTTAGCGTTCTTATTCAACTCCGTTTTCGTTTCATACCTGCCGTTACTATGGCCGATCTCGACGATTTCTTCGCTAAAAAGGATAGGAAAAAGTCAAAAACGAAGAAATTTGCCACGACCGATGAAGTAGCTAAAAAGCTGGAAGATACAAAGAAAATTGAGAAACCAGCGAAAAAAGAAAGACCCCCCGAAGGTGAAGAAGGCGTCGATCCCGTTCCGGTAAGCAAAGAAAAAAAAACCTTTAATAAATCCTAATCAAAAAACTGTCAAAATAAGGTTAAGTCAGCCATGTTGTCTTCGTTAATGTATAAATCTATTGTTTTCTTTGTTTTTTAAAAAATAAGCAGGAACAAGATGAATGGAAGGAATTTGAGGAAGAAAAAAAAGATTACACTGGTTTAAAAATCGGAAATCTCACTATCAATTCGAACGGTGATGGTACAATCGATTGCGGTGAGAACAACGGTGAACAACAACAACGTTACGATGAATCCGGTAACGAAGTCGAGAAGAAGGTCGGCCCGTGGAAACGAATTGAAGTCGTTCCGGTTGAGGTACAACCTGAGAAAGAGGTTAGAAAAGCTCCAGAACCACCAGCAGCTGTTAGTACTAGCGCCTATGTACCCCCTAGCTTAAGAAATGTTCAACAACCACAGCCGTTACATCAAGTCCGTGGCAGAAGTAAGGCTGCTCCTGATATTCATAATGAAGAGCAATTTCCTACCTTTGCTGGATCAAAATCTGATAAAAGGTTTGATTTTGACATAACTAAAAATATAGTTTCAAATAATAATTTTTGATTCTTATTTTTGTTTCAGAGGTCGTAATGAAGGTTCATTTGAGGTAGTTTCTCATAATAAAGCGAGTTCCTACAGACATGTAGAGCAAACAAAGTTAGCGAGCAGTCAAGGTCCTCGATTGGCGCTTGGTAATCGTTACAACACCCTTAGCGATAGCTAGTGACCTAAGTGTACATAGACGTAACAACCAACTACTATGATTAAATCGACATCAGCTAGTGGCCATAACAACAACAGGACAGAATATCTTAAGCAAATTTTTCTTCCATCATTGAAGAACTAAACATACACACGTATATATACGTGGGTATGTGTATATACATGTGTGCATATACCTTATACACGTGAATATACGTATATGTGCATAACAAAAACAAAAAAAAAATGTGTGTATGAAATAAATTTAAAAAAGAAAAATTAAATGATTAAAAAAGACCATGTGAAATTGGTAAACATTGTAAAATTATTGTTTTTTTAATGTAATTATTTCTTGATTTATTTAGTACGCTTGATGATGATTGGTTTTTACGAATTATTATTACTATTTTTTATTTTTAACATCTTATAATAGTGAGGTGATGTGTACCTATAAAATAACATTTATTCGATCGATTTTGTTTAAGGTTTATTACTTTTTTGCTCAGAAAGTGTCAAAGCGGCAGTGTTAAAATAATAATTATTGAAACATTTGTTACTTATACTTTACTATGTATTTTGTGTTTTTTTTTTGAGAGAAAAGTAATGTAATTTATATCAGAATTAGACTTTTTTTAAGTACAAGTAAATATTTAAAAAGCCCTTTATCGATTTATTTATTGCTGTTGTGGTAAAAAATAAAATCAAACAAGAAATAGTTTATCAACATCCTGTCAACTGTCATTTTTACCATTTTAACTTAAAACTAAAGGTGCCTTTAGTGTGAAGATTTGGGTATGTGGGTGTTGGGAGATTTGAAGGAGGGAGAGTGACACTGTCACGAAACCTATTTACTGTGCAGGGTATTTGCCAGGGATTTACCCCTAACGTACTAGCGTCACGTGATCGTCTTCAGCCAATCAGACGAATTTCCGTTTCACCAAATCTCCCTCGCACTAAAAGCACCTTAACCCTTTAAGAACCAAGACCTTATACCAAGAATTTCATATAACTCGCAATATATAAATGCTGCAACCATAGGATTAAACAAGCTAGAACAGGGATGGGCAAACGGTCAATTGCAGTCCTTATTGATAATTTGCTAGGTTAATTTAAAATGTGTACTAAAAAATTCGCAGAAAATTATGAAAATGATCGATAACAGGGTAAACACCGAATTAAGAAAATAATTAAAAAATCAATTAACCACACAGCAACATTTGTTTCAAAATCCTATTCATTTTACGGATTTTATGGGCCATTACAACTCGCTTAATTTACAACAGGGCCGTTAAGGTCAATCGATTATAAAGACCGTCTTTCAAAAAATCGATAATCTAAATTAAATTAGACGGATTAGTAACGTTTTCACGTTCGAAAATTGTTTAAACTTTGCAATAATTAATGTAAAAGTTTAAAATTCCTCACCCCCGACTCTAGATGACGTTTTAAGTAACAAGAAAGAAATCACAGACGTTACGTTCGCTTCCGTTTTCTTCTAGCGCATAAGATTCGCAGCATTGTCTCTCTCCAGGAATTTTATTGATTTTTATACGCTCAAATCTGAGTGACGTACTTTGGAGTTCGCGCCTTGTAGTTTCAAACATTTTTTTTTTTTGGAAAAACAGCCTCAGAATCAAAAAAAAAAAAAAAAAGACAATTATAAAAAACTTTCGAATAAGCCAATAAAAAAAAATACTTAACGGCCCTATTACAAGGAAAAAGAAAAAATATTATTGAGTTGTTCAGTTCGGTAAATGCTTTTAAAGCAAAATTAAAAGTTTTCGCTTTACAATTAAAAAGGCAAAATTTTAAATATTTTCCATATTTAGAAAAATATATTAAACTTACTGGTGAATGTAATATTGAAATGTTTTGTTCTGAACTGGAAATTTTTAATCAAGAATTTGAGAGGTTATTTGCAAATCTCAATCATCTTCAACCGATATTTGAATTTATTTCATTTCCTTTTGGAGAATTCGATAACGAGATTATTTCATACTTTTCAATTGAATTCAACGGCTTTACAGTTACAAATTTTAACAATACAATCGGATATAATTGTGAAAGCTGCACGTGCTTGTGCAGCTTTCACAATTAATTATATATTAATAGGGAAAATTATTTTTAAAATTTATTACCAGAAGAAAAATATCCATTATTGAGATCGGTGGCAATGAGGATATTTGCAGTTTTTGGTTCCACTCATCTATGTGAAGCAGCGTTTTTTCAAATGAAAAACATCAAATTGCAATTTAGAAGTTCTCTGACTGATGACCATTTAATGGCATCAATTCGATTAAGTATCGGTAATTACAAACCTAACTTTACAAGACTAGTTGATGAAATGGAATGTCACACATTTACATCAAAAAATTAATCCAAAATATTTATCAATTCCACAAAATTGTAAATACAATGTCGTTTGAAAAATTAATGTCAGCTTAGATTAAGCTTTCTAACACTTCGAAAATTTCTTACGACCTGAATTTCAACCTCAGATATAGGATGGTAAAGTGCTACATCTGGTCTGTTCTCCTATATGGGGTTGAGACATGGACGCTGAAAATGTGGATTCGGCAGCGAATGTTGAAGCTGTCTTGGGTCGGTCACCTGCGTAACAAAGACGTTCTCCGAAGGTTTTTCGACTCTACCAGTCTAGGAGAACGAAAACTTTTTGAAAATATCAAGAAAAGAAAGATAGGTTATCTCAGACATATACTACGGGGAGAACGGTACCATTTCCAATGCCTCATTCTTCAGGGAAAAATTGAGGAAAGAAAAAAATTATCGTGGCTAAGAAATATCCGTCAGTGGACAGGGATACAGGACTTCCAAACATTACAGAATGCTGCACATAATAGAACGCAGGAATCTGCATGGCACTTTAAAAAGAAGGATGCGCTAGCATTGTTTATAACTTTGACAAATGCCAAGATCTGCGATTACTTCTTGAATATTTTTCAAGATGTGCAGAGTACTGCATCTCGTACTACCTTTTCCAGGGCAATGTTAAAAAGCAGACAGGGCAGCCCGTCTCGCTGTCGTAGACTTTCGTGGCTTTAATATGTTCATGATAAATCCACTTGTGTTTTGACACTACAAGAAACCTTCCTGCAAAGCGTATTATTGCTAGCACATGAGGAGGTATATTATTAAACTGTGACATGTTTTTGTTTTAATAAATTTTGTTAAAAAAAAGATTTATTTTTTGATCTATATGCCGATTCAGTGCCGCCATTGGTGCCGGTCCCTAAGGATACAAATCCAGCTTGGCCCTAAAGAGTTAAATTGTTACTTTCTGAGACATCATTAAGTTAATAAAAAATAATTTACTTTAGTCAATTAAAAAATAAAACATGGTGTACCATAAAAAATATAAATCTTGCATCTTATAAACATATTTATTTAAAAGAAACAAATATAATGGAAAGTAAACTTATTAATCATTTTTCTGATTAAATAATTTTCGAAAATCATCATTTGATTTTACAACTGTATTCCCTTCGACTGGCAAACTTTTGTTTTTCTCCAAACATCTCGGTAAAAATTGTAGTCGACTTTTTGGATGTTGAGAAGGAGCAGTAACACTTTTCATCGGAACAGTTTTACCTTTACTTGGAGGGGGAGAACTAATAGCAACGGAAATTGTAAAACCTTCAATTTCCTTATTATCTGTAGCTAACAATGCTTTTTTCGCAATATCTTCCGTAGGAAATTCTACGTAAGCCAAACCTTTCGATTTACCATTAAATTTAGTCACCAATCTAACCTCAACAGGATTAAATTCTTTAAAAATATTTCCTACAGCAACTTGGTCGTACATTAAAGGAAGTCCTCGAACAAACAATTTTTTTGGTTCACGTTTAGTCTCATATTTAAATGCAATTTGTCGATCTTTGTTATCTTTATTATATTTTGAGATGAACATTGGTCGTCCATTGATAGGTTCTCGATCTCTTTTAAGTGCTTCGTTAGTTTCTTCTTGATCTTTAAATTGTACATAAGCAAAACAACGCGATTGACCAAATTTATCGGTAGGAATAGTTATTTTCAATGAATTTGGGAAAAGATTATTTATTACGTTTTCTGAAACACTTGGAGTTATATTTGAAATAAACACAGTCGTTGATGGATCTAAATCTGTTGGAATTTGAACAACTTTAATACATGGTTTTTCGATTACTTCTTTTTGATTTTGTTTAAGTTTTTTGTTAACTCGCAATTCGCTTTCTATTGTTCTCGAATTTTGAGTTTCATAAAAATTTCTTTTTGAATTTTTGAAATCATTGTCGTGGTTATTATTTTTAGCTTGTATTTCGGTTAACATTTTTTTAGAATTTACCATACATTTCATAACATTCTCGACTGTATTTGTTTCTTGCTCGTGCATTATCCACTCATCAGAGAAATACTCGGCCCATTCAGGACAATTTTTCATCGCTTTTTGGTATAAGCTCCTCAAATTTTGGGATGTTCCGAAATGTTTCTCCAAACTTAAAAAGGAAACCCATAAAATTCCTGAATTTTTGTTTTCTTTAATACTCATAATTTCGCTCCAAATCTTCCTTGCTTCCTCGTAATCAGTTTTAACTATCAAATCAGCTTCCATCCTCAATAATTTTGTGTATTGTTCGGGATCGAAAGCAAGCTGTTCTCTCGCCTGCGAGAAAATCGTTTTTAATTTCATGTCCATGTTTTCTTGTCTTCGGACATACTCGATGTAATATCGCCATAATTTTAAATGGTCTTGATTTCCTACGCATTTTAAGCTTTCTTCGAAACATAATAATACCTCTTCAGGCTTTTCTTTATGAATTTCCATAACTTTTAATCTCCAACCCCACAAATCTGAAACCCAAGAACAATTTCTAACAGCTTTTTCAGTTACTGTTAATGCAACTCTCCCCAATTGGGGTGCAAATTGACAATAAGCGATCCATAAATCTATGTTTAAAGGTAATCTTGCAACCGCTCGTTCATAAGTGCAAATAATTAATATACGATCATCGATGGCTTTTATGTAATTTGTGTAAATATTAAAAGCCTCATTGTCGTCATCGCATGTTAATAAATCGTTTTCAAATTTTTTGTATTTTTCAACTAATTTTAAAGCATTGTTATAGGCCCATTCAATTTGTTTTACATCAACGCCGTGATCATCGGGTAATTGTTCAATAAATTGTTGATACTCTTTCATTGTATTTTCCATATCTAACAAAGGAACACGCAGTTGTCGATGATACAAATTAATTACACGATTTAATTGTTCCGTAAACTCTTCCGATTCCGGTTTAGTAACTGATAAATGTGCCATTTCAAATTCTCTGTACATATCCCAAATAAGAGAACCCTCGGAAACGTGTATACCAATAACGGAAACTCCCATTTCGAAGATTTCTCGCGTTTCTTCTATCGAGCAATTACCAATTGCATATTGGCAATATTCTTGCCATAAATGACCAGCTAATAACAAAAAAGAATTAATATAAATTTAAATATTAATCCTCATCAGGACTTCATTTATAGAACCGAATCCAGACTTTATGTGTCAAATTGATACATTTCCAGACAATAACTGTCTGTTCATTTTCCCATTTGTGTAGATAAAAATAAACAAATTATTTTAATTATATTTTATTGAAAATAAAGAAGGTTTCAGTAGAACAGAAAATCAGTAGAATTGAATCAAATTTGCACATTTCTCCCAGATTGCAAATCGATGAGCCGTAAAAACGTACTCTACACATTTGTCACAGCGAATGCTGTGAAGATTAGCGCTTGAGCGAGATGTCACATGAGCAACTGTGACAACGAGCTCTCTTTTTGGTCGGTGGTACGTGTTCTAGTGATGATGATGTTAGTGAATTTGAACCATGCGGCGTTGATGGTTGTACAGTCATGTTCACGGGAACTGCACACTTAAGGTCAAGCGCTGTTGTGAGATCCGACATGCCGCTGGCTATGAGTTACCTATTGAGAATGCATTTCCCGTGAATATGACTGTACATTTGAATTGTCTCGTGGCTTGATATTTCGTAGCTTGATGTATGGGAAACATAAAGCTTGGTGAATTTTTTTTTCGCAATATTCCTATCTGCGTTCAATGTAGTAAATATAATAAAGGCATTATACGCAGAAATACGAGCATATTACAAAACAATGCAACAGGCCACCTGTTCACTTTCCGCTTGTATGACTCAATCATCTGATCCAACACACCGACACCACCCTTTGTTTCATTATAAAATTTTATTATTAATGTTGGAGCAAGTTTGTCACAGTATGCTCCCTCTTTGCTCTTTGCTGATCGTCGAATCTGAGACAGCGATTGATGTCTTTGAACCGCCCTATCGCCATGGTTGCTGCAAATATTGGACGGCCATGTTTATCATCCCACAATTCCTCAATACTTTCCCCCTTTGAATGATAAATGCCGGCTAATAAAACTAAGCCATAGTAACACGCATTGTGATCACATCAACAGCCAACCATTTTTCTTTATATCATCGAACGCCATACAAATTCTGCAAAAACTCTTCTTTGAAGACATCCTTCCAATGCTCATTGGACCACCGTTGTAAGAATTTTAAAAAACCCCAATACTTTCTGGAAAACCATGCGTTCTCTTGGTGTAGTTAAATCTCCTTCTTACCAAGGTAGTTTTGATTGTGATTCTCTGGCTAGTTATTTTGCCGAATACCCTATCACTCTCGACGATTCAATTAAGGTATCAACAATTCTGGCCATTAATGCATCCGCTATTATTAGTTCCAGATTTATTTTGGAGTTGTTTGACGAATTCCAAGTCTGCCAGACTCTCAGACATTCTCGGTCCACTAGTGTAGGTGCTGATGATGTCAGCATTAAGCAGCTCTTTTCTATTTTGGATATAATCATTCATCCACTACTCCACATATTGAACTTCTCCCTTGAGACATTGTCCTTTGCTTCTATTTGGAAACTAGGTTATGTTGTACCCATACCTAAACTTAAGTGTCCTACTCGTCTAAGTGATTTTCGTCCTATATCTATTATTTCTGTAATTTCTAAAGCGCTTGATGTATATGCAGGCGCAGCGGTATTTTGATGAGCACAAGATTATCATTGATTTGCAATCTGGTCACGACATCGGCGCTTTTCAAACTTACTGATGATATTAGACGTGGTTGTTATGACTGGCGTTTGACCTTATTGGTTTTGTTTGACTTCAGCAAGGCATTTAATTCTGTTGATCATAGCTTGTTGATGGCAATTCTATCTTCTGTAGGTTTTTCGCCGAGATGTGTCGCTTGGTTTGAATCATACCTTTCTAATCGTTCCTTGTGCGTACATGCCTCCTATCTTCCTCGTCTGTATTTACAAGCCGTTGTGGTGTGCCAAGGCAGTGTTTTGGGTCCACTTCTCTTTTCCGTCTTCATAAATTGCATTACTAAGATAATTAACTACAACTTTCACCTATATGCAGACGGCCTCCAAATTTATTCATCTGCAGTTGTGGATGAACTCCAGCAACGGTATTGAGGCTTCATCTTGCTAGTGTTCTAGACTGGTCTAGATGGCATGGCTTGAGTTTGAATATAGCAAAGTCTAAGCTATTGGTTTCGGATTAACCTTTGCTAACAAAATTTTACTCCATCAATAATAACCATCTGACACTTGATGGTAACATCATGCAATTCTCTTAAATAGTTAAAAACTTGGGGTTGATGATGGATTCTGAATTGTCCTGGCAGCCCCAGATTCAGTCTGTCTGTAGAAAGGTTTATTTCTGTTTCTATTCCATACGCTAATTTGGTTGTTTCCTTCCAACTATTGTTCGTCGCAAATTCTGTTACTCTTTAATTCTCTCTAACTGTAGGGTTATCTGAGACTGATTTTTGATCTTCAGCTGACAGCTATATTTGCTCTTTTCCAATCATTTTGCGCTTAATCCGATTTTCTTTCATTCTTGTTCTCTCCTATTCTTTTTCTATTACTTGACATGTGTACTTATTTTTTTTCCCATAGTTGCTAGGATCAGATATACAGCTGGTAACAAACAGTGTTGGCCCTTATTGTCTAGAAGCAAAGGAGTTCAAGCTTGTAGACCAAGCAAGTGGCATTGGTTCTTTGGTGTATTGTATAGTTTTATCTTTCAACAACAACACATTCGAATCTAAAGCTATATCACTAAACCAAAAGTATTACACGTATTTTTACCCTGTAATTTCACTAATACTGTTGTTTATAACACAAATTACAAGCATGTAAAATGTCAATTTGACACATTAAGACAGAATTAAGGATTTTCTTTATCCAGCCTACTAGATAAGATTAATGGGAAAAACAGAAATAGGAAATTAGTAAATAATGAAAATATCAGCAAGTAAACTTAAAAATTATGTCAATTTGACACAAAGTCTGGATAAAGGTTAAAATTAATTAATAATAATTACAGTGATAATCTCTTATTGCCTTCTTAAATAAATCAAGAATTCTTCTTTTTTCTTTATCAGTTTGGGAAATTTTGATTTCATCCTGAATCCATTGTAGCCAAATTGTAGCCGTTAATGGATAAGCTGTGCTAAATCGCTCGTAAGCAGCTCGCATTGATGTTAAGTCGCCCAATTTTCGGTAGAGTTCTGTTAACTCAACGTGATTATCATAAAGATAGGGATTTGCGGAAACTTGTTGTTCCAACTCCGCAGCTCGGGCTTCAATAAGCTAAATCATGAGTGAAATTATTGATAGAATGAGGTTAAGTGATTATAAATACCTTTTCTTCCTCATCTTCATTGCCATCTGATGAACTATCAGAACATAAATCTTGATTTGCATTTTCGGTGTCCATTTCTTCCATTTTTCTTTAATGGAAAATTTATTTAAGTAGAACAGGTTTGTTTTCGTTTTTATTTACTCTTGAATTACGCATGCGTTAATTAGGCACACATTTTAACAGCTAAGTGTATTATTGGTTGCCAAAAATCTCTTTAATTAAATATATTTTTCTTAAAATGTATAATTAATGTAATTATCATGATATTTAGTTAATGTAACATAAATTTTATATCATATTCGAATAAATCTAAACGTTTCCTTAGTTAAAAGAATTTATTTTAAATTTTTAAATTTACATTAATGGTGTCAATGTTATTGCCTATCTGTTTATTTACTACAGAAATTTGACACCACTAAAAAATAAACTACAAAACCACAGGAAATCCAAATTAATTATCAACCAATATCATATAATTTCAGCTTTTTCACAAAAACAACAATATTTTTATAGAATTTACTTATAAAAGGTTGCTTTCACCTATTCTATTTCATATAATATTTTCCAATTGATGATTAGAATGGCACTAAACACATCAAGAAAAGTTGCGATTGTAAGTAATATAAATAATTTAAACTCTGTTTAAAAAGCAAATTCATCTTGATTAGGTAACTGGGTCTAATAAAGGTATCGGATATGCAATTGTCAAAGGTTTATGTGATAAATTCGATGGAGTGGTTTATTTAACTGCACGCAACTCCGAACGTGGAATTGAAGCTGTTAAGAAATTAAAAGACGCAGGATTTAACCCTTTGTTCCATCAACTTGATGTTGATAATCAAGAAAGTGTCAACAAATTTCGTGACTTTATAAAAAATGAACACGGAGGTGTTGATCTATTAATCAATAATGCTGCTATTGCTTATAATGTAAAAGAAAATATATCTTAATTTTCCTAAATTTAATTTACATATTTTATTTATTTACAGCAAGATTCTAAAGAACCATTCTCAAAACAAGCTTCTGATACAATAAAAACTAACTATTTTGGACTTCTTCGAGTTTGTGAAGCTTTCTTTCCTTTATTGCGGAAAGATGCAAGAGTGGTTAACGTATCAAGCTCAGCCGGACATCTTGCTAGAATTCCTTCCATAGAATTACGAGCCAAATTCAGTGATTCTAATCTTACCGTCGAAAAATTAAGTACACTCATGAATGAATTCGTAAAGTAAGTATACAAATGAAATTATTTTCTTCAAATTATGTAGGATTTCAATGAATCAGATGTCGAGAAGAACATAACGATACTGTTACACCATTTGGATGGAACGATTCCGCTTATGTTGTCTCGAAAGTTGGTGTTTCTGCACTTACTAGGATTCAACAAAAAGAATTTAATCTGAGACGTGGGGATTTAAACGTTTCGGTTAATTCTGTTCATCCTGGATTTGTAGATACAGACATGACTGATCATCAGGGTGTTTTAACTATCGAACAAGGAGCTGAACCAATTTTATATTTAGCTCTTGAGCAACATGGATTTAAAGGAGAATATGTTTGGTGTGATTCGAAAGTTGTTGATTGGTTGGGGTTATCTACACCAACACCTGTTTAATTAGAAAAAACAATTTATATAAAAATTAAATTTAAATAAAAATTCTTTTTTATGTTAAAGTTAGGTTATGTTAAAGTTACATTATATTAAAGTTAGGTTATGTAAAATTATAATAGCTTTTAAATATAATTTAAGAGTTAAGGATTAAATTAAATTTATTAACACATTATAAATATAATTTCTTAATTATTTTAGGCAAACTGAAAACGGTACCCACGAAGCAAGTGGTTGGGGTTCTAATTCGTACGTTGTTTCAAAAGTTGGAGTATCGGCATTAACAAGAATTCAACAAAAAATGTTAGAATCCGAAGAGCTTAGCCGAAACATTTCCGTTAATTCAGTACATCCTGGTTATGTTGATACAGACATGACTAATCATAAAGGTGTGTTGACTATCGAAGAAGGAGCCAGGGCCCCATTATTTTTAGCCTTAGATGCTGAAAATATGAAAGGCCAATACATTTGGAGTAACAGTCAAGTTGTTGATTGGTTGTCTCCATCTCCACCGCCTAGAATTTAAATTTTTTGTGAAATGTTAAAAAAAGGAGATTAAAATAAATTCAGTATATAAATAAATTTAAGGTTTTGATGAAAAAATTTTGAAAAATGTTGAGTTATAAATAATATGGTTTGTTAATCATCTTTATTTATTTGTACATACATGTAGGTAGCGACAGGGCAAGTCCAATTAGGAGCTATCTCACAACTATACTATACGACATATGTAATTTAATAAAAAATTCTATGTTACCACCGTATGTAGAAAAACAAAACTAAATCTATCTAGGTACAAAACAGAGTATGGCGCTTCGAATAACTCATCTAAAATTGTTTGGCGTGAGAGCAATTATGTCCAACCTAAGGCGGTCTACTACTCTTTCATATTAAAAAGATACTAGAAAAAACTTCTTTTACTTGCTTTTATTTAAATTTATATCGACACTAGTTTTGAGGTACACCCTCATCTTCAGTCGAAACTAGCAAAAACGAAAAACATATTAAAATAAGACGGTTTAAAAAACTTATAGGCAAAATTTCAAAGTAATATATACATTAACAGCGAAAAACAGCTTTAAGAGTAATAAATTGTGATCAACCTTATCAAAAGCTTTGCTGAAGTCGGCGTAAATAGCATCCACCTGGACGTTCTTATCAAGAGTTGAAAAAAGAAAATCAGCATACTCTAACAGATTGGTCTCAACAGAATCACCAGGAAAACCGTGTTGTTCCATACCAATAAATGACTTAATTTGAAAAAATAGTCTGTTATAAATAAGTTTTTCCAAAAATGTTCCTATTATTGGTAGAATGGATATAGAGCGATAGTTATAGATAGATAGGGGCATTATACATAGATATAGGGCGAATAGGAGTAATTTTAGACAGTTTCCATACAGAAGGAATTATGCACAAACTTGACATTTACATATCTGTCAAAATGACAGCTTGAACATTACACTTTTCATATCACTTGTCATATCACGATAATGAAAATAACGTCAACTTTGAGAGTTTATTTATATATATAACTATACTCTGTTTTTAAACCAGGAGGAGTATTTTAAATTTGTATGTAGGAGTATTTCGCGTTTACTCCTCCTGGTTTAAAAACAGAGTATAGTTCTAGTGCAAGTGTTAGTTCTAGTTTTAATTGTTATTCAGCGCTAAGTTGTATATTTTTAAGTTTCGGGTTTAGCCCTGTGTCTTCAGACGCTGAATGTTAGGTAAGGTTAGTTTTGTTTACAAACATTAATTATACCATGAAGTATTCTTTGGCAATTAGTAATGGCAATTATAGCGTGAAGTTTTCTTTTGTAATGTCAATTATAGCGTGAAGGAATGTTAGGTAAGGTTAGTTTTGTTTACAAACATTAATTATACCTTGAAGTTTTCTTTGGCAATTATACTCTGTTTTTAAACCAGGAGGAGTATTTTAAATTTGTCACCAGATTGACCTTGCACGTGATTGGTTGAATGCGAGGAAGGTTCACACACAGGCAATTTTGAATTTGAAGGTTAGGTTATTGACAATTCGACAGTTTCGTGTCATTATTGTAAATTTTGTGTTCTTAAACCCTTCTTTATTATATTTTGAAATAAATACACTCATAACTTCAATGTTAATTTGTATGTTTAGTGTTGACGATAACAAACGAAAATAAATACAATAATAAGTAAATAAATAAATAATAATAATTATTAATTTAAATTTACCGCCAAAATATCTAGTGATATTTTCTGGTGATTTTTCCTAGTGTAAATCTGACTTTCGCGTTTATTCCTCCTGGTTTAAAAACAGAGTATAACAGAAACTTGTAGGTTAGCAATTAAATGTTGAAATGGGTGAATTAAACTGAATTGTCTGATGAACGCTTTCAATGGGATCTTCAAAATAAATACAAATTTGACACTTAAATGTCAAAAAGTGACAGCTCCATCATAAAATTTAACAGTTGCAACAAATTTTAATTGGTTGAATTTTCTTCGTTATTTTTATTACATTAACTATAATTAATACTTAACGAGACTCATTTAGGTTCAAAATATTATAATGGACCTACGTGTCATATATTATCTGTAGGGTGATAGTTGTTTACAAGGCATCGATGCCAAGACTTAAAAATAGCAGTAATTTTTATTTGTGTAATGAAGTACAGCTTTGTACATATGTATTTGAATGTATGTAATTCGAATTTAGGAATTTAATATTTATTGATGTACTGTTTTTTCTTCTTATACCATATATAAATCTCAAACAACCGTTTTGCAGACGTTCAATTTGAAGGGTAGTAACCACATCAAGATAAGAATCATAAATTACGTCTCAGTAATTGAATAAGGATAATACAATTGAATCAAAAAGTTGAATTCTTAAACGCTGATTCAATAAGTTGCAATTACCGTAGAGTAGAAGCAGCGCAGCATACGCTCGCTTATGTAAATTAAATACATGTGCAAGAAATCTAAGTGATGAATCGATGATAACGCCCAAGTTCTTTGTCTCATCGCTAAACTGCAAACTAACACCACAAACACCAAAAACCGATCTGATTAATATAATTCTGAGTAATATGCACTTGAGTAGGATCAAAGGAAAAATGAAGCTGAGTGTCATCAGCATATGCAGTGATGCAACATACCAAAAATATTACTACTATAAATTAAGTAGAGAATTGGAGTGAATATAGATACTTGAGGAACGCCAGACAACACAACAGCTTCATCAGACTAGCCACCATCAAAAGAAACCATCTGTTTGCGATTCATTAAGTAATGTTCAAGAAAAGCACGGGCATTGCGCGATATATGTCCATATCCCTTCCTCTAATGATAGCATCAATAACTTCTAAGTGTGCAGTAGCAAAACTGTAACCCGCTCTAAAAACAGACTGGGTATCAGGCAATATGGAAAAGAAGGAATTAACATCAATAAGACCTTGTAGAATAGAACGCTGGCTTCCTGAAACTTCCCCCCCGCAATTTTTTATTTTTCAAACGGTTTTACTTTTTCAAAAAAAAAATAATGAAAATTTGAAAAAACTTTGGACAATAAAAGGTACATGAGTGCGATGCCACGAGAATCTTATGCGCTAGAAGAAGAGATCCGAACGATGAACGTTTGTGTCTTCTTGATCTTACGCGAAAACCTTGTAAACGTCACCAAAGCTTTTATAGAGGGGCTTTTGAATTTTAATATTAATTATTGCAAAAATTAAACAATTTTAGGATCTGAAAATGTTACCAATCCTTCTATTTTTACATAGTTTATCGATTTTTTGAGATTCTCTTCGATTGCAGCATATACTCCTTCTTTTCCCTTTGAACACTAGAGTTAGTAAAATGGGGTCATACACGATTTTTTTTTTATTATATTTTCTGAAAGTTTATATAAAAATATAGTTACCGTTATTTTTTTTTTAAATATTTTCGAACAAAGTCATTGTTAAAAGAATTATTGAAAATTTATATACCCATTTGCGCTTTTAAAATTCCCGCGTTGATGACGTAACAAACCGCATTTTGGGATTCGAAAGCGATTAAAAAAAAATAATAAAACGCAATACAGGCAGAACTTTGTAATTTAATTACGAAGTTGCGTCTTGAGAACCGAGGGTCCAGACTAAATACTACGTAGGCGGTTCTGGCAGGAATGTGCCGAGGTGGCAGTTAGAGTAGATGGAGCAGGGGAGAAATGAAGAAAAAATCGGGGAGTCGGTTACGGGATTGGAACAGAAAAGCATCGGGCGAAACCGGGAAATTAAAGTTTTTGTTGTGTTTTTAAATTCGAGTCGTGCGATTTGAACTTATAGCAATTTAGTTATAAAATTCGTTGAATTGGATTCTCTTTCTTCGATGAATATTTTACTTTAACAAACGGGTAAGCGTTATTAAAATCTTAAACTTCCGATTTCTCATTGAACCTGCTAACCACCTCGGCAAATTTCGTAATGATGTTGTTGAATAGCTTATGTCATGTAATTTTTACTTTTTAAAACCTTTGTCAGTTGTTTTTTTTTATATATAATATAATACGTTCTTGTTCAAAAATAAAGCAAACTTATTCTTTAGCAGTGAAATTTCGTTTTCTTTCAATCTATTTTTATTCTTAATTTCAAATTACTGCCGTTCGCTTTCAAGTGAACGAATGCAGTGTGCCAAACCCTAACTCAGTCATTGCTAGCTATCAAGAAAACGGTAGTGCGTGGACAGTTGGGTACGCGAGCCGCTCCGTGGACCTAGCTAGGAAACCCACTACGGGAAACGAGAAGTTCTCGAGAGCTAGTTTGTGACA